ATAAAAGTGTCCATGGTATCAGTTTCGCGTTCAGCAGCAGAGCCGCATTTCGGGCATGTGGCCTTTTTCCAAGTGTCGTCTTCTTCTAGTGGGTTTCCCTTGCGACCTTGAAAGAAGCTATCAGGCAAATCCGGTAGTTGGACGGGAAGGTCTTTTTCGGGGACTGGCACAGCACCACAGGAGTCACAATGTATGATGGGAATGGGGGCGCCCCAATACCGTTGGCGACTGATGAGCCAGTCTCGGAGACGCCAGGTTGCTGTTATTTCAGCTTGTTTACCAGTGTTGATGATAGCCTGGACGACTTCACGGGCAGCTTGCTTGGAGGGCATGCCACCGAAATTCTCAATGTCAGCAGCAACAAATCCTCGTTCGGTTACGGGTATATCTCGCCCGCTTCGTGGTACAATTGGAAAAGGCAAATCGTCCTTCTTCGTAGACACGACTAACCTTATGGGCTCATCGCCAACATTGGTTCGCCAAAATGCATGATCTCGCGTATCATGGCCAGGCACACCCATGATAGCACCAGAGCCATAGTCATCCAGGACATAAGGGGCCACATAAACAGGAATAGTCGGTCCAGCAGTACCACGGACATGACCCAATGGATTCCTGGCTACGATGCTCCGAAGTAGGAAGCCTTCTTTTGTGTCTGGAGGTAGGTCTTTTGCTCGTTCGATGAATGCGCGAAGAGACTCGTCTTGGGCAGCTAGCTTTTGGACGACGGGATGACTCAAAGACAAAGCAATGTACTGTACCCCAAACAAGGTATCAGCCCTGGTCGTGAATACATCGACGGGCTCAAAAGACACGCTGCTACCTGTTGAGATGATGTCGAACCATAGTTTTGCACCTTCTGACTTGCCGATCCAGTTTCTTTGCATGGCCAACACCTTTTCTGGCCATCTATCATGTGTTGCAAGAGCATCCAAGTCTTTTAATAGAGGTTCTTGAAACTCCTTGATTTTCAAAAACCATTGCTTCAGCATGACCTTTTCTACCTTTGCACCAGAACGCCAGGAGCAGCCATTGGCATCTACTTGTTCGTTGGCAAGGACAGTCTTGTCGACCGGGTCGTAGTTGACAAGAGACTCTGCCTGGTATGCGAGGCCGTGGTCGTGGAGCATGAGGAAGATGCGCTGGGTGTGCTTGTAAAATGCAGGATCGCATGTTCGTATTTCCTATGTACAAGTCGATCAGCTCCTGTGCTGTCTACCCAAGAGGTGTTGCATACAGCGTCCCAATCCCATCGACCACCCATTTGCTCCATCTGGGTCTTCATGGCTTCGATGTTGAGCAGCGTCCATTTCTCGGGATGGACTCCACGCTCGATTGCTGCATTCTCGGCAGGCAGACCAAAGGCGTCCCATCCGATGGGATGCAGGACCTTGTAGCCCTGCATGTGCTTGAAGCGGGCCAGGACATCGGAGATGGTGTATACTCGTAGATGGCCGAGGTGTAGGGTGCCCGAAGGATACGGAAACATGGGCAGCACATAAGCATTGCCGCGGTCAGAAGTGCGCAGCTTGTGCCACTTGGAAGACAGCTCATCCCAACGCGGCTGCCACTTTGCCGTCAACGACTCCAACCGTACATCGTCGGCCCTGTTCTTGGTGTTGCGCGTGCCCGCCCATCGCGACGACGTAATACGCGTGTAGTGGTGGAGGGCGGGGCGACGGAGGGCACGCTGCCAGCCCACGGATTGCAAAAGTCGGCCTTGCATCTCCTACCGGCTCGGCACCTGGGCATTTGATACGGGCGTGGGATACATGGTCTGCCCGTCCGTATACAAAAGATGCTCGGCATCACCCGAGTTGCAAAGGGTTCCCGCATTTTTTTTGGGACCTGGGCCACTAGCCCTGCACGGAAACTAGTCCCATGACGGCATAAGGAGCTCCATCGTTTCGACTGCGCATGCACGCTTCACCATTCATACACCGCAGCTTCGCCAGCGAGCTACAGTATTGGACAACCGGCTGCTGGTCACTGCCCCTTGCTGATTACCCCAAACTCTCCATGGCGAGCACGTAGACGTGCGTATTTTCCCCTCCCAATCCCTCTACCTTCCTTTCGCAACATGGCCGGCCGCTATTCCAACCTGCCACCCCCGACTCGCGATTCACTCGAACTGGCCTCTCTTGCTTCGTCCTCGCATGCCTCTCCCCGTTCTTCTCACGAATCTTCTTCTTCGGGCGCGCCCTCTTCGCGCAGACTGTCCTTTGACGACGAGGATCCCTTGTCCGAACTGAACCCTGCCGGCCATGACCCGAGCCGACCGCGGCGCACTCGCACCTACAGCGTGTCCTCCGCCTTTGACTTCGCCCCGAATCTGTTTCCTCTGTCCAGCACCGCACAGGGATACACAGCCCTAGGCGCGCCTGCGAACCCGGCCTTGGATCCTTCCAATGCTCTCAACGGCGGCTCATTAGAGAAGAACAAGAGCCTGACATACCTTAATGGACTGTCGCTAGTGATTGGTCTTATAATAGGGAGCGGCATCTTCTCCTCGCCCTCACAAGTCAACAAGAATGCAGGATCGCCTGGTGCGTCGCTGCTAGTCTGGCTCATCGCTGGAATTTTGGCATGGACGGGCGCAGCGAGCTACGCTGAGCTAGGAGGCGCTATACCCCTCAATGGTGGCGCTCAAGTCTACCTGTCAAAAATCTTTGGCGAGTGGGCAGGTTTCTTGTTCACATGGTGCGCAGTCATGGTGCTGAAGCCGGGCTCGGCAGCCATCATCGCGATCATATTTGGTGAATACGTTGTACGCGCCGTCATTGGAGCCGAGGCTGTAGATGCGGGCACATGGTTGAACAAGAGCGTGGCACTGGTGGGACTTGTGATTGTCACACTGCTCAATTGCATCTCCACAAAACTGGGTACGCGAAGCGCCGACGTCTTCATGTTCTTGAAATTCTTCGCCCTATTGGGAGTCACAGTAATTGGCATCGTGGTCGCAGCAACAGGACTGTCGTACAAAGGCAAGGCCAATGACGACTGGAAGCATCATGGCTGGTTTGAAGACACGAGCGAGAATGTCAGTAATTGGGCCGTCGCGCTATATGCCGGACTGTGGGCATTTGATGGCTGGGACAATGTAGGTTCACCACCTCCTCCACGCATCTGCTCATATCCACTAACACTCCCAGGTCAACTATGTCACAGGAGAATTCAAGAACCCCACCCGCGACCTTCCCCGCGTTATCCACACCTCGCTCCCGCTCGTCATACTCTGCTATATCCTTGCCAACATCTCCTACTTCCTGGTTCTCCCCGCCTCCGTCATCGAGTCTTCCAACACAGTCGCCGTCGCCTTTGGCTCGCAAGTCTTCGGTCCCGTCGGCGCCCTAATCCTCGCCTTATTCGTCTCCGGCTCATGTTTCGGCGCGCTCAACGCCACTACATTTACATCCGGTCGCCTCGTCTACGCAGCAGGCAAGGAGGGCTATCTCCCCTCCATGTTTGGCAACATAGGCCTAGGCAAAAACCACCGCGCCATCCGCCTAGACTCCCTCAATGCAAACCAGTCAAAGAGCAAAATACCCCAGAAACTTGTAAACTGGTTCGCAGACGAAGACGCGGGCTTCTTCTTCACTCCCATTTCTGCAATGTTACTCAACGCCTTTCTCACAATCATCTACATCGTTGTCGGTTCCTTTGATACACTAGTCACCTTCTACGGCGTTGCGGGCTACGCCTTCTACTTCCAAACCGTCCTCGGTCTCATCGTCCTGCGCGTTCGCGAACCAGATCTAGAAAGACCGTATAAAACGTGGATCACGACGCCCATCATCTTCTGCTGCGTCAGCCTCTTCCTGCTCAGCAGAGCCGTCTTCGCGGAGCCCCTTCAGACGCTCCTCGTCGTCGCTTTCATGGTTGTAGGACTTGTCATTTGGTTTGCATGGGTGGGACGGCGTAGGGGGAAGGAAAATACAAAGTTCCGTATGCCGGATGAGGGCAGCGAGAAGGTTGGATGGAAGTTTTGGCAGCGGTGGAGGAAATAAGAAATTCTACGTCATCATTGTGTTTCATGACTGTTGTTTTATAGCATATAGGGGCTATGTAACGATGTATACGATGGTTTTACCCAATTATTTTGTGTGTGGTACTTTCTTGTCCCTTTTCTTCAACCCCCTTTCCCACCCCGAATTCTTGATTGCAGATTAGGCAGTTGTTTTGATACCGATTACTCTCTTAGAATTGAACAAATGACAAATCCCCCATCTCCCTCCGTCTTGTCCTGTTTTTTTTCCTTGATTTCCATCATTCCTGTTTTTTTTTTCTTATCCTTCTCTGCCATTTACCCGCTCCTTTTGCATTAAATCACATGGTAGCTACCCAAACACCGAACTCGGCGTCGTACCTTCCTCTTTTTCTTCACGCTGCAGCATCCTCCTTGTTTCAGAGCAGAGATATCGAGTCGAGTTGAGTCGGTCCGTTTTTTGTCCTTGCTTTGCTTTGCTTCAAACTTCGCATTGGCATATTGAAGGGGGGTTAGCTGGTTGGAGTCAGTTGGAGAGAGGGGAATGACTCAATTTGGGGGGTTGCATATACTTGTTTTTTCTTTGAGCGTGTTAGATGTGAGAAAGGAAGTGATTCATGAATCAGTTTAAGGCTGACTCGTCGTTTTTTTCTTTCGAATGAAAAAAAAAGCGCGCAGGATGCAATGCCGTGTAAGAAGGTACGGGGATTTGAGTTTCTTTCTTTTCATTCTATATTCTGTGTGATTTTTGAGCTATACGATAAGGCTGGGGGTTTGACAAGTTTATTCTTGCTTCTAGATTTTTTTGGCAAATAGAAAGAATAACACTTGACTAGTATATAGCTACACAAAAAAGACTTGGTATGTACCAAACAAGGTTGAGGACCTTGAGGTCTTTTTTTTCTCTCACTCTCTTCGGTGATAAAGGGGTGCATTAGGGGGGCTCAATGAAGAGCTTCAAGGTGAGACAAGGAGGCAAGAGGCAAGAGAGATAAGAAGAAAAAAAATGAGATATGGAGAAAAGTAAGATAGGATTTAGGGGGTTAGGAGGAAGGGAGGACTCGCTCAAGACTCAGCTGGTGATTGCGCGGAAAACAGAAAACAAAACGAGTGGATGTACTGTGCCAATCCATAGGGGATGAAATAGGGAGGAGTTTGGATCATAGTGCGCAGCACCAGGTGTGTGTAGAAAAAAAAACAAGATGTCGATATCGTAAAGGAATGATCGTATCGTGAGCCGACGTAATGAGGAGTAGTAGTAAGGGAGCCCAAGCTTCTATACCCGCCAGAGGGAGAGAGCGCCCAAGTGTAAGAATCCAGAGCCGTGATACAATGCCCCAGGCAGTGCAGTGACGCAACATGGCCTGTGCGAGACGCCCGTGTGTCGCGGAGGTATGAACATGGGTTTCCACATGAAACCGAACCCGTAACGCCTGTGGAGTCAGGCCCAAGGCAATACCAAGAGGCACGGCGAACCCCCCTTCCGGACCCGACCTTCTCTTCCTGGAAAATTTGTGCGAGAGATAGAGAGATGAAGAAAAAATCGAAAAGAAGAAGAAATAGAAAAATATCCGCCCCAAGACTTTGCATACATCTTAGTAATCATACAGCGGCGCAGTCGCCGAAATTCCGGTCTAGAGACAGAAAGGAAAAAGAATGCTCCTCCTCATGTTCCGTGCAGCGCTCAGGCCGAAACATTCAGATCCAGCCCTTGGTAGGTGAGGCTCCTCGTTGCATTGTGCCTGCGCCAAGTGGGATGCGTGCCGTGGGTGATGGCGCCGCGCTGTTACCGCTCATTGTCCTTGTGAGCAGGTTGGCTGATCCAGGTGTGCTTGGTAGTGATGCCGTTGTAGGTGAGCCGGCAGACGAGGTAGGTGTGATGGGGTTCATCCGGAGTCCGCTTACACAAACTGGTGGAGGAACTGCGGGCTGGGTAGGAGGTGCAGAGTGGAAGAGGGGAGGCTCTGACTGAAGTGGTGGGGATCGCAGTACCTTTTCGCGTTGGGCCTTGAGGTATTCGCTTGAGTTGGCTACGGGTGCCAGGGGAAATGCAGGTGCTCGGTTCGGGCTGTTGGCCCTAGGTCTGAATGACTCTTCTGCCGGTGATGGACTGGTTGAGCTGCCCGGGATTATGAGGCTCAGAGGCTCTCCACTACCCTGGGTGGCAGATCGCTGTAGTGGCGGAACATCGCGTTCTACTCGGGTGCATTTGCCTGCTGCGAGTGTGGCAGGTGCAACGGAGAAACGGAGGCCAATCTGCACAGTTGCGCAGCTGTCTGTACTAGCCATGCGTTTGTGTCGGTCAGCGAAAGGTAGCTTTGGCATGCTAAGAAAGTCAAACGCATCGCTGACGTTAGTAACTGAGCCTCGTCGGGTGAAGCGCCTCATAGCAAGCTTGGAAACAGAAGCTGGGTCTTGTGTAGCATTGGGGTCGTAGACTGTCGCTGGAAGGCGCGGGACTTCTTCGGCTCGTGTAGGAAACAAAGAGTAGCTCAGTTTGCGTTCATGCGCGTTCATGGTATCCTTCTCAAGCATTGGGGGGAGAGGCCACTCGGTAGGGTCGATTCTGCTTCCTGATCTGGCCGACGATGGTGTCAAAGCGCGTTCTGGTCGTTCAAAATACTCGGGGTCGATATCCGAGCGGTTCTTCTCAGGTCCAACATCGATCAAACCCTGTCGGCTATCCAGACGTTGAGTTGTGTGGAGTCCCATTGGTCCACTGATCTGCATCTCCAAATCGCTCGGGCCAAAGAATCGTATCTTGGGGCGTTGGTGTCTTGCGGGATCTTTCAGCTCATCCATGGGACGGATGACCATGCGCGTTGCGTTTGTACGGAGGAAGAGATGGAAGAAAGTGATGACCATGCCTGAAGAGAAGAGTGAGACTTCGGCAATTCGAGAAGCCGCGAGTGCCTCCATGAATTCTCTTCGAAGAGACTGAACTTCGACTGGAATTACAAGCGCCTGTGCACGTTAGATGAGACAGGCGTGAAATAACGGTAAACACTCACATAGATTAACGCAGTCACTATCAAGAAGTAGGTCATACGTGAGGCTGAAATACGCTCATTGTGATCCAGACCCGGTGTTCTCATTAATTGGACACTGACGAGTGCTGCCACAGATAGCAAAGAGAAGACGAGGATAGAAAGAATGGACAGCATCAGGCGGTCGTATCGCATGGGGAACCAGATGAGGCTACCAAAGCAAGTGTTGGACATTGGCCATACAATAGTCGGGATCCATGTGAGTATCAGCAAGAGCGATACAACAGCGATGCATATCGTTGTGTTCCAGTTGCCACGCGGAGCAAAACGTTCTTGCCGGAATGCTCGGATAAGTGTCTCAATACCGAAGACGAGTGTGATGAATCCGACTAGGAAGATGGCTGTGATGGTCAGACGGTACTTTGGTGGGCTAAAGATGATGAAACCTACTAGGAAATGTGATCATTGCTAGGCTTCGACAACTCCTAGAGAATACACTTTGAAGGGTCGTGCCCTGCACTGAGACGAAAATAATCTGTTGGATGACGGCACCAGAGGCCAACGCAAGTGGAAAGGTTTCGGCGGGATGGACATTGTGGAGGGCGTTGAATCTCCTGTAACTTGGTCAGCAATGGTCCACGTTCCTCGAGCGCCGTACTGACTTCTTCCTCGGTAGGACCTGGAGAGCTGCTGCTCGTCGTGCATCTGAGATGATTCGATGGACCGTTAACAGTGTCAATGCAAGACTGAAGGCTCCGAGGGTCAGATGGGTTGTGCGGAGCGTCTGGACTTGCTGCAGCTGTAGTGACGCGATCAAGGTCCTAGTCGCGTTGCTTTGGGTCCAGGGAACTTGTCGAACGGCAGAAGTATTCAGAGTCAAGTTGAAGTGCGACCGGGCCTCGAGCTGGGGAAAGTAATCCGCCCATGATCCCATCTTGCCAACTCCAGTTACAACAGGTGTTAGTAGGAAATAGGTGGTCTCGCTGGTAACCAGCAGCGGCTAAAGAAAGGAAGTAGACTAGGTATTCATGGAGACTGCGTGACTAACGTCGTTAACGAAAGAGAAACCAGCTCAGGGAAAAAAAGAAGGGAACTGCCTAAGCCTGCCAGCAGAGCAACAAAATAAGGGGAAAGAGCGTGAGCATTAGACGTAAGAGACGAAAGACGGGCATGAGACTCCAAACGGTATATGACAAAACCACTGGGTGGTACCAGCAACGCACGGTTTCGGGGTGGCGGCCCTAAGGCGTCTGTTCGGTCACTTACTGGGAAGGGCCCACATTGGCAATGACTGAGTCTTGCCATATCACAGGCCGCCCATTCCCGCGCGCTCGCTGGCTGAGGGGGGGTTTCACCCTCATGCGAGCCACGTGTGCTGGGTAGCCATGGCAGCGGAAGCAGCGAGACCCGTGCAGACGTTGTGACCCCTGGCCCTCGCTGGCCAACATGGGAAAAGATGCTGTGGAGTTGACTAGACCCTGGTCTTTGCTGTCAAGACCATGGAGCTGGTAGCTCTTAGTCAGACGTCATGGCTTGACCTTGCCGTGCTGGCCGGTCCCGCAGGATATGTGCAAGTGCAAGTGTGTACAGTGTAGTAGTATAGGGCACGGGTGCTGCACGCTGTGGATGCGGGTGCAACAGTCGTCTGTCCACTCGGGCGGTTACTGCGAAGACTGCACTGTCTTCTGGCGCACATTTCTATAATTGGTCTCTGGACAGAGCTATTTTCAACGTGTGGAAGCGCTGGGGGTGGACGAACCGCCCATGGGCAGTCGTAGTGGTAAGGTGGTTGAGGTCAGACTAGAGTTCTGATGCTTGCTGGGTTTAGGTTGTGCCGCAGATCCTCGCTTGTACCCTGCCCGAGACAACAAGACCTCCAGAACCCTGGTCAGCTCAACGGTTACCAGGGCAGGCCTGCCAGAACATGACACTGCGCCCAGCGAGTGAGGTTGGCCAAAACGAACAAGGAATACATGACCAGAACCTCGTGGGATAGACTAGGCTTTCAGCGTGCATGCTGCATTGAATCTAGTCGTCGACGTGATTAACCGCACAGCCTCTACCAAACATTCGAAAACCTTAGATTGCAGGATTGCGGAGAAGTCGCCCCGCATCCAGAGTGGAAGAGGCTGTGTGGGCGAATCAGCTGGTGCGTCGACATCCACCATGGCGACACGCGGTATGAATGCCCTCTACACTAGATGGTTCCAGAAGGGCGTAGTGAACAATACTCAAATTCGGATTGCGGGTCTAGGAAACAAGACCCTCAAGACGGACTGTCAGTTATCGCCACAGATCCATCGTGGTGAGCGTGGCAAACGACCACCTTGCGACCCGTTGGCTGGCTGGCTGGCTGGCTGGCCCATAGAGAGTGTCTACATGGTTTCATCACTGCCTTTTTCTCGCCAGGAGAAACCATTGTCCCGCAACCGCCGTGTACCTACAATTTGGGCAGGGAATCATCCTAAAGCAAGCAGACATCGAGATTGGTTCGCTGGTCTCGAGACACAAACTAGTGCATGAAGTACACAGGAGCGCGTAGTGGACATAGCATACCTGACAGCGCCACTTCAACACCACCACGCACCTACCAAACTTAGTTCAGCCACTACACGGCAAAGTGGGCTGTGGCGTGCAGGCTTGCCTCAGGTTATTCTCCGATGATGCACTCATAGTCCACAGCTCTACAGAGGGGTTTCGTGATTGTGGCCAAGTGGACATTGCGATTACCAGAATGAAGGATAAATTAAGTATATTTTCTTTTCGTACAAGGTCAGTATCTTGTTGAGTGCCACGGATGTAACAAAAAGGTATTTCTTGATATGTCAGGACTCCGCTGATGTGAGAATGATATGCAAATTTTTCTTTTGACTCGGCCTTGCACAAAGCCTGACTTAGGTCGACTTTGCGTACTCTTCAAGATATGAGACAAGTAGCTTTGCACCGTCTAGCGAGACTGCATTATCTGGTGTACAATTTGGGTTAGCTCGAGTTTTTGGGGGTAAGCAAATCCCGGCTGAGGGATATCCGCACATTCGCCCGCAGTCGGATGCAAACCAGACAGGGGAGCACATCTCCACAAGACTACTGCCCAATGCATGACCAGCAGTGTGATCAATGCCGGAGAAAAAAAACGGGGCCACTTACAGTTACTAGCACGAATACCACCGACGCTCCTGTGTCCCTTCAAACCAAGTAGACCTTTCTTCTCCGCGCCTGAAAGGAAAGCCTTTTCCTTGTCTTCAGCTCCGCCATGGACCCTAAAGCAAATATTCATCCTACTGCGCGCAGATTTGTCTGGGACAACCTGATAGATATCTGGATACTTATCGAGCGTCCCATAGATAAGGCTGGCCTTTTTGTTTGAGATTTCCTCCTGGCCGCCAATACGCTTAGCTCCGTACGAGTTGACAAGTCCAGACATGACCTGACCGGCCACCCAAACATCAAAGATGGGTAAAGTGTTGTACAAAGAGTTGTTTTTTGCAATCGTAGGGTAGTCGAGTACAATTGGGCCCACAGCCAAGTTGAGTTCTCTTAGCAGGTCAGGCGAGGCCGGCGTCGAGTGAGGCGGAAGAAGCGACTTCCGCATGATGACGATAGCGATGCCGGTATTGCCAATGTTCTTTTGCGCGCCACCAAAGATGACTGCATACTTGCTCACGTCGACCTTGCGGGAAATGAAGTTGGAGGACATGTCGGCACAGACCAGGGGCGCGTCATCGCCTTCTAGGCTTTGCGGGAAGGAGGGGAACTCGACTCCGTCGACAGTCTCGTTGTCGCAGTAATAGACGAGGGCCGGTCCGCCCGTTGAGCGCGACGTAAGGGCCCACTGGTCCTCGGAGGGGATCTTCCCGAATTTGCCGTTGTTGGCTTTGCGCGCATCGACGGCTACATTTACGTGCTTGGCTCCTACAAGGCGAGCGGCTTCTTGCGATGCCTTGAGCGACCACGAGCCCGTGACGAGGTAGTCGAGCTTGAGCTCTTCATCCACCACCTTGCGAAGTCTCTTGAGCACCTCGTCCTTGTTGTCGCCCACCTCTTGGGCAATCTTTGCTCGCTTCTTCTCTACCCATATCGAGACGAGATTGTAGACAGCCGCACTGAACTCGCCAGTACCGCCGCTCTGAAGGAAGAGGATTTCGTAGTCGTCAGGGATCTCGAGCAGCTGGGTGAGGGCCTGCTTCGCCTCTGCGAGAATCTCATTGGCCTCGGCCGAGCGATGGGAGATTTCGCAGAGCCCAATGCCTTTGTCTCTGTAGTTTAGCAGCGCCTGCGAGGCTCTCTCGAGCACCTCGGTGGGGAGGGGCGCGGGGCCAGCCCCAAAGTAGGTGACGTCTGAACGGTTGACCATGTCGGCGAGTAAAGGTACGGCAGAGTTTGCGGTGTTGTGTGAATGACTGGAAATGAGCAGATTTATAGAGTGCTGGGCAAAGAGGGGTTGATGTATGGTAAAGTTTTGTCTTGCATCGTGCGTCGCGTCATACAGATGACTCCCATTCTAGCCAGCCAGACTTGCCATGGAGACAGCCGATCTCGCAGACGGTCTATGTAGTCGTTAGTCGGCCCTGGATGCCGCATCACACATCCAGCATGGGAGCATGTACTACTGTGTCGGCGTTGAAGGCCTGCAGCCGTCCAATGGCGGACGCAGGGAATCCGATGACTGCGGCCGGTTTCGGTGGTGGGCGGGTGGGTCGCAATTTTTGGCCCAAACTCTGGGGAAGAGGCGGCATACATAGAAACTCGTGTATCGCCTGCAAATCGCCGCCGCTGTTTCCGTCCCTCTCCAGCACAAACAATGGCAATGTCATTACGGGCAGCGCGCCTGCTGGGCCGCAGGCAGATAGCAGCAGTATGTTTCTTTGTCAAATGACGTCTTTGGCTCCACCATCTAACCGCACACACAGCCACGGGTCACCGTTGCTCTCCGCGCCGCTTCGCAATTGCCTCGAGTCCATGCCGCCCCGCGAGCCTTCTCTGCACTGGCCAGCCGACGTGATGCTCAAGATGTGTTTCCCTCGATGAAGGAGAGTCCTGCCGCCAGCTTCCTCTCTTCGCTCAACGAAACTCCCAAAACACCCCAGACCCTTACGGAAAAGATTGTTCAGCGACATGCCGTCGGGGTGGCCCCGGGCAAGGTCCTTCGCTCTGGCGACTATGTGACGCTGCAGCCGCACAAGTGCATGACCCACGACAACTCGTGGCCGGTTGCGCTCAAGTTTATGGGCATCGGCGCCACTAAAATCAGCGACCCCGGCCAGATTGTCATGACGCTCGATCACGATGTCCAGAACAAGTCGGAGAAGAACCTCAAAAAGTACAGTCAGATTGAGGAGTTTGCTAAGACCCACAATGTCGTCTTTTACCCTGCAGGACGCGGCATTGGCCACCAGATCATGGTCGAGGAGGGCTACGCCTGGCCAGGCACCCTGGCTGTGGCCTCCGACAGCCACTCCAACATGTACGGAGGCATTGGATGCTTGGGTACTCCAGTGGTGCGAACCGACGCTGCAAGCATTTGGGCTACCGGAAAAACCTGGTGGCAAATTCCACCCGTCGCAAAGGTCACACTCAATGGCAAGATGCCTGCGGGCGTGACTGGCAAGGACGTGATTGTCGCGCTGGCTGGATTGTTCAACAAGGACGAGGTTCTCAATCACGCTATCGAGTTTACTGGAACCGACGAGACCCTGGGCAGTATTCCTATCGACGACCGCCTTACCATTGCCAATATGACTACAGAGTGGGGCGCTCTGACGGGGCTGTTTCCTATCGATGCCACGCTTCATGGCTGGCTAAGGGCCAGGGCCACATTAGCAGCTATGGGAGAAGGCCAGGCCAAGGACCATCACCGTCAGCAATTCCTCCATGAGCGCATCGACAAACTGTTTACCGCTACGGGTATTGTCGGTCAGCAGCTAGGCCACATCTTCAAACCTGCGTTGGCCGCGGACAAGGGCGCTGTATATGCCAAAGAGCTCTTCTTGGATCTCTCCACCTTGTCGCCATACGTCTCAGGTCCTAACTCTGTCAAGGTTGCTACTCCCTTGCCTGAGTTGCAGAGCCAGAACATCCCCATTAACAAGGCTTATCTCGTTTCGTGCACAAACTCTCGCGCATCTGATCTTGCTGCTGCAGCAAACGTCTTCAAGGATGCAGCTGTTCTCAACGGTGGCAAAATCCCCAAGATTCCAGACAACGTCAAGTTCTACATTGCCGCTGCTTCTATCCCAGAACAGAAAGCTGCAGAAGAGGCAGGCGATTGGCAGGCTCTTCTAGAAGCAGGCGCTCAGCCCTTGCCTTCAGGTTGCGGTCCTTGCATCGGCCTTGGTACCGGCCTTCTTGAGCCTGGCGAGGTTGGCATCAGTGCAAGCAACCGCAACTTCAAGGGTCGTATGGGCTCTCCCGATGCAAAGGCATACTTGGCAAGCCCTGAAGTCGTTGCAGCAAGCGCCCTGTCTGGTAAAATCTCTGGTCCTGGATGGTACCAAGCTCCTGAAGGCTATGAGGGTGTTCGACGAGGGGAGGGCGATGGCATTCCCGCTGAAGAGCGAATGATGACCATTGAAGACATGCTCGAGAAGGCTATCAAAGACGCTGAGGCCGCTATTGACACATTTAGCACTACTGAGTCTGACACGCAGTCTGTCAATCCACCTGCAGCGGCAGGCTCGGAGGCTGAAACTTTGACCGAAATCCTGCCAGGGTTCCCGGAAAAGATTAGCGGCGAGATTGTCTTCTGCGACGCCGACAATATCAACACAGACGGTATCTACCCTGGTAAATACACGTATCAGGATGATGTGACGCGCGAAAAAATGGCAGAGGTCTGCATGGAGAACTATGACCCCAGCTTTGGCCAGGTGGCTAAGGCTGGTGATGTCCTGGTTTCAGGCTTCAACTTTGGCTGCGGCAGCAGTCGTGAACAAGCCGCAACGGCCATCCTGGCCAAGGGCATTCCGCTAGTTGTTGCTGGTAGCTTTGGCAATATTTTCAGCAGGAACAGTATCAACAACGCTTTGATGGGTGTTGAGGTGCCCAAGCTAGCCAACCGCCTCCGTGAGGTCTTTTCATCAAACGACGCCTCGTCGTCGCAACAAGCCGTCAAAGAACCTTCTAACAACAGCGAGTCGCTCGACTCGCCCCCGCCAGCGGCTGCAGCTCAGCCCAGCCAAGCTAAGCATCTAACGCGCCGCACCGGATGGACCCTGGAGTGGGACGTCCGAAGGAGCACTGTTTCCGTCCAAGAAGGACCCAATGGCACTAAATGGAACGTCAAGGTCGGAGAACTACCACCCAATGTCCAGGAAATCATTGCCCTCGGTGGCTTGGAGAACTGGGTCAAGAAGGAAATCGGCAGTCCTCCCTCGTGAGTGGTACCGTGTGATGCGCGATTAGTTGGGGCGTGTAAAACCTTGTGTATACCCATTTGATTGAGAAATAAAAATTGCATGGGCGGCGTTTCAAACAGTTGTTGAAACTATCCCAAATCTATGGTTTGAAATGAAGTCATGTGCATCACTCTTTTGTACCGGGACAACGGGTGTAGCGGAATACCATTGTTGAACCAGGTAATTGGGAAGTAAGACAAAACGTTTTCAAAGATATTTTCATACACACATCTTTGTTGTTTTCCACTCGCGTACAGTGTATTCTACAGACTAGTGATGCTTGGATGGGAAATTAATGCAGTAGTCTGACTACTTGTGTGTTGTCAATACGCCAGCACCAAAATCTCATGGCCTTGGCTAGTATTTCAGTCTACCTAAGTATTCTACTCTGAGTTTTGCTCCTCAGGTTATATTAAGGTACTCTCTGGGTACTACGGCCCCGGCTCCCTGACTTAGCATGCTAGACACCGATCTGTAGCATTGACCTGCAACTTTTTTTACCGAGAGCGCGATCAATATTGTTTGCAATGAGGGTTTAGTTTAACGAGGCTGTTTGTATTATTTTTGCATGTTTACATGCCCTTTCTGTTGGTTAATCATGCAACTTTTTACCAAGGCACTCTTGCAAGCAATGAACCACGAGCTATTTGCATTGTTATTGAGTGAATATCCTATACAAAGAGAACACAGCAAAACTATAGAAGCATTGCGCTTTACTTGTCACCTCCCCCCCTTTCCCCCATCGTCGCTTGCACACGAGCAAAGTTGTACTGACTTCCTACTGTTTTGGCTTTTGACAATAATACTTGAGTTTAGTTTTCTGGTACTCCGCAGCTCCATTCCTTATATCGTCAGTTAGTAGCGTGAAAAACTCACAGTTTGGCGGTTGTATGTATGACTTACCGTGCACAAACACCTGCAACATTATTATAGCTGCAATACCATCTACATTGACGACTACGCGAGTTGCAATGATCAAAGTCGAGCATGCAAGAAGCAGAGCCCGTTGGCATTTCTCCCTCATTGTTCGGGTCTGGGTGAAGGAGTAGGCCTTCTTGCGCTGCGCACATGGCAATGAACGCGAGGACAGCGAGAGCAGCGATGCGCATGTTTTGCTATGTATATTCAATGAATCAAATATTGTGAAAAAAAAAAGATGAAGAAAGGGGCAGGTAGGAAACAGTTTGATATCAGCAAAAGAAAACTTCTCGATCAAAAGTGATGAAAGGGCCAGTTTGTAGACAAAGGAAATAATAATAATAATAATAATAATAATAATAGGTTCACGGACACGATAGGAACTGTCTGTTGTTTTACAATTGGATGACATGAAGTCAGCAGAACAGACGCATTCGCAACGTTTATTATAGTCGAAAGCAACAGGATTAAATTAAGCAAAAGATTCAATTAATGATAGGGAAGTGATAAATTAGCTACTATACGCAGCTTGACTTAAGAGAGTGATATGTCAAGAGGTAATGTCGGGTATGACTAATAGAACTGTATGACTTGAATTGATTGTGTCTATTTGGCGTATAGCATATCAGATGATTTTTCTCAGAAGGTAATTGCAGGTCACACCCCATTTCAGCCATGTACTGCGTAGCTATGACCAGAGTGGCAGAACAGCGGTCGCGGTGCGGATGTTGATCTGCGCCGCCCCACCTTGTCCCTCGAAATAGACCATCTGTCCCTGAAATACTGCCTTTGTGAGATCAATGGTGGTGGCTGTATAAATCGTGAGGCTCATTGTTGCAAGGAAGCAGGTGTCTCCACGTACATAAGGAAACTTATATTGTCCTTCATGACGGTTATCTCGTCACAAAAGGGATGCATGTCACCTACTAGTATGTTCAGGAACACCAAACTGGTTCGGAAATTCGTAAAATCTTTCAAAATCTTTTCACCTCCAGTAAACCGGCATGCCCTTCTCCCACCCCTTGATTCTACAACAATACCAAGTATCCGTCTCGCTCGTCCCCTGCCCCCCACTACTCTTCTGGTCAATACTCGCATACACGCTCCACCCCTCCTCCTCCAGCATCTCGACCAGCGCCATAAGCAACTCCCTAACCTGCATCGTCGTCTTACCCGTCGGCGACCACGGATAGCCATGCAGCTCAAACTCCCATATGCCAGGCGCATACTCGCTCTGCCCCTTGAGCCACTCGCTCCCTATCCTCTGCGGCAAACTCGCATACAACTCAGGCGGACAGTCAATAAATCTTAGCCGACTCTGCCGCGAAAACGCTATACTGCACCACTCGTGGCGCGCAGGCGGCGGGGCCTGGTGCCGGAATAGTAACGTATCTTTGTCTGTTGCAGTCTTACTGACGTCCGTGGTAAGCGTTAGTATCCAGCCGTTGGCATGCAGCGTTGATAGCACGCCTTTTACGAGCCGCCGTGCTTGTGCTGCGTCTTTGCCAAAGCCGCGCCACGGGTAGCCGTCGAGCTTGATTTCGTGTGAGTTTGCGTAGGACCGCTCGGAGGAGATGCCTTGGGGCCAGTTGGAGAGGATGGCGCTTCGACAGGCGGAGATGACGGGCTCGGGGAAGCGTAGAAAGCGGATGCGGTCTTCCATGTGGAGGGAGAGGGATGCGAAACGGGTTTGGAAGGGAGGTACTGGGGTGGAGGAGGAGGCTGCGTAGGAAGGTGGTCCAGGGATGGAGAGAGGACTGCCTTGGTGGATGTCACTGGAGTCGTGTTTTGAATGGCCTGATGGCGATTTTCCACGGATTTTGTCAAACATTGTGGTTGATGGACTGGTGGTTGATAGCCTGGAAATTAAGTTCTGCTGGAGAAGAGTAGTAAGTTCGAGGCTAAGGGGTTGTGCTGATGCGGGGTTTTATATTTCAATGGAAAAGAACTGAACGCCTGATGTCTTGTTATTCAGTGGTGATGATCATCGCCATCACATGTTCTACAAGGCTGTGCTCTTTGGTTGGAATTGCACCATGCTGTATTGGGTAATAATCCTTCAGGAATGTTGGTATTTTGGTGTTTTCGGCCCATTTGACCCCACACCTTCCTGGCTGTGGCTGTTGATACACTGCAAGGAATTGGCGCTCTTGTTAGCGGCGTCCTGTTGTCTCCTCTTCGGAAAAGGAACGAAATAGTAATGGCACAATTAAAATACTACTACTTTGACTATGTCAATGCTTGTCGCATGTGTTCCTGTCAGAGTGTAAGTATTCCAGGATGCTTCCTTACTAGCAGGGCTTGGCGGGACGATACCGGACTCGCGCACCCTTGACGATTTTTTGAATTCCGAACATCTTATCGGTAGCTCCAGTTTCTCACTGCTCGCCCACCCAATTGCTCTGTGCTGCAAATTCCCTCTTCTCCCTTAGGCAGTCTTTGTGTTTCTTCTTCGCACATTTTCCCTTTACAATGACGCCATCACCTTCAGAAGCCGTAGCGAAAGTTGCGCAAGCGGCGTCGGGCACCGACTCGTCGGCCAAGGTATACAAGAGGGAGTCCAACACAGCCAGAGTTCTGGGTGCAGGTACACACGAGTCTCTCTGCAATTGGGGAATTAGGACTAACGGTTGTAGGATGTGCGGGAATTGCAGAGCTCATGGTGTTCCACCCAGTCGATACTACAGCGAAGCGATTGATGAGCAACATTGGCAAGGTGCGATAAAATGTCACCATATGCACGACGACCATGTCTGACCCTGCGCATACAGATTGAATCCGCCTCACATCTCAACAAGGTCGTCTTCAGGGACATGGCCTCCGCCTCCGTGTCCAGTCGATTCCTGTCTCTGTTCCCCGGTCTCGGATACGCCGCTGCATACAAGGTAGATGGGATACTCAAAAATGTGGGAGAGCCTTAATTGACAGTGATAGGTACTCCAACGAGTGTACAAGTTTGGTGGCCAGCCTTTCGTCAGGGACTACCTCGCGCAGAATCACGGTGGCAGCTTTGACCGTACGTTTGGTAAGGGCAACGGCAAGGCGATCATGCACGCGACTGCAGGTTCGATCATTGGTATTGGTGAAATTGTCCTGCTTCCGTTGGACGTGCTCAAGATCAAGCGACAAACAAACCCAGAGGCTTTCCGGGGTCGAGGACTTGTTAAGATTGTCTCTGACGAGGGCTTTGGACTTTACCGTGGTTGGGGATGGACGGCAGCACGTAACGCGCCTGGCTCGTTTGCGGTATGTTTGTAATGCGTGGAAAGACAAGAGCAAACACTAACGCCGGCATAGCTGTTTGGTGGTTCGGCGGTTGCCAAGGAGTACCTCTACAAGCTTTCGGACTACAACTCTGCGTCGTGGATGCAAAACTTTGTCGCATCCATCGCAGGTGCTAGCGCTTCGCTAGTAGTGTCTGCTCCTCTGGACGTGATCAAGACGCGCATCCAGAACAGGAACTTTGAGAACCCAGAGAGCGGCTTCAGGATCGTATCCAACATGATCAAGCACGAAGGCTTCACTTCCTTCTTCAAGGGACTCACGCCCAAGCTGCTCATGACGGGGCCTAAGCTCGTATTCTCCTTCTGGTTGGCGCAAACGCTGATACCCGCGTTTGGCAAGATAATGTAATTTGTAAGCTGGCCGTGATCTGATGTCTGTACTATATGGGAAGCGCGGGGCTTTGGTTGCCTGGGACGGACAGACTGGGCTGCGTCGAATGTAACGACGTACGGTAGACCGCGCACTTTTGCAAGCGAACTATACATTCTCCATTCTTTCAGAGACTAGGTTGCAGATTGGTACACTTGTGAAACAGCGCCGGTGATGCATGCCTTGTCACGTGCACGCGTCCACACGGCGCACTGCCCTGCCTCATGCTCATCATGGGAACGGCAGTGCCAAACGCTGGTTGAGCGATAACAAGGTTGCAGCTTTCAAGCCACTCAGGTCACATGTCAGACAGCGCTGCCAGTGTGCCCGGTAGTGTCGCTAGGGCAGGTTAGGCGGTGGTCAGGCTGCTGTGAATGTGATGTTGGCTGGTGTGGACGGGATCCGGCAACCTGTGACCACGGATTTGGGGCTGAGTGCCAAGCTCCTTCACACCTGGTATCCACGCAGGGCACCTCATCGTCCTCCGCTTCCACCTCGTCCACCTCCGACGACGCGCGATACCCCACGATTCAGCCTCCAGCCAGCCTTTTTTTCTTTCTCAACCAACACCTTCTAGTCCTTACTTTTCCCATACCCCTGTAACGCCGCAAACATGAATCCTGAGTGGTACGTAACCTCCGCGCGAAGCCCACCGCCACAGGCCGACGAGCAATGACGATGTATCTGCGTGCAGAGCCATGCTGACTTGAATGCCTACAGAGTGACCTTTATGCCCTGCAGCACAGCACAGCTTCGGAGCTGCTGTTCCCCCGCCTACTGCAGACTGGCCACTGACGCTTCGCTCTCTGCACAATAGATACGACTACCTCTTCAAGCTCCTCCTCATCGGTGACTCTGGTGTCGGAAAGTCCTGCTTGCTGCTCCGTTTTGCCGACGACACATACACTGAGAGCTACATTTCGACCATCGGTGTCGACTTCGTGCGTCTGCCTCGGTACTTGGTGCTGGTGCCTACGACGGACTAACATGTGCTAGAAAATCCGAACGATCGAGCTCGATGGCAAGACTGTAAAGCTGCAGATTGTGCGTCCTCTTGTTGGATCCAGTATCTTTTGGCAGCGAGTGCTGATGGTGATTTTAGTGGGACACCGCCGGCCAAGAGCGTTTCCGAACCATTACTTCCTCCTACTACCGTGGCGCTCACGGCATCTGCGTCGTCTACGATGTCACTGACATGGACTCATTCAACAACGTCAAGCAGTGGCTGCAGGAGATTGACCGATATGCTACCGAGGGCGTCAACAAGCTGTTGGTTGGTAACAAGTCCGATATGGCGGACAAGAAGGTTGTCGAGTACACCGTAGCAAAGGTATGTTCGTTTCGTCGTTTCCATGTAGCTCTGGCATCTAACAGCATCACTAGGAATTTGCAGACAGCCTTGGCATTCCATTCCTCGAGACCTCCGCAAAGAGCGCCACCAACGTCGAGCAAGCTTTCCTGACCATGGCCCGCCAGATCAAGGAGCGCATGGGTACCACAACCGCCAACACCAAGCCCACAGTCCCCATCGGGCAAGGCCAGGGTGTGCAAAGCGGATCCGGTGGCGGCTGCTGCTAGAGAAGGAAGAGAAGAGTTCAAATGTGTCGGAGAAACGTATAAGCGTTCAATGAGGAGCGAGATACGACGTGGATGCCTGATTTCCGGTCTCTACATGGCGATTGCGAGAAGCAAAGTGGTACTACACTAGTGCGCACTGATACAAAGATGGCCATGATCTCCACTTTGTCACCGTCTCTCCCTCTCCGTCTCGAGCTTTGTGCTAGCATGGCGACACGGATCGCATAGAATGGGGGCTCTCGTTTGGATTTCCGGGATATGCTGGTTTCTGCATTGCAATTTGTGATGGCCGCTAGGTCCTCTGTTTCCTTCGGTGCGTTCTAGGTGTTCTTAATATGGACAATCATACTTTATCCCAGAAAGTGATTTGCTTGGCATGTATATGTGTAATGACGTACTGACATGATGTTGAGCCATCCCTGCCGTGGCCCCCCAAAAAGCAATTCTGAGTGTGTATTTCTTTTTCCTCCCATGGTACCACAGAAACCCCCACCTTCTATATTTGACTTGTTAAGAGTGGAAGTGTGGTAGTTGTGCATACATGTTTTTCCTTTTCTTATCAAGTGTCGAATCAGGTGCTGGCGCTCCTTGGACGCCTTTTCACCTCTCAGTAAAAAGCCTTGGATGCATACAAGCAGGAGTAGTGATTATGATTTCCCCATTCCTGTAATTGTCCCTGTACCGCCACTTTTGCTCAGCCCCATCAAAAACAGCCTCAGTTTTTCATTTGTTTGTCTCAGAGATGCTTTGGTGATGTACCATGAACTATGCGGTGTACTTATTCGCTCGCCCCCCCCCCCCCCCCCCCCCTCCATGCCTCTTCGGGTAAAATAGTCAAAAGTTGGCGGCCCTATTGCGTATTCCTTCAGGCATCCACATCCGAACATCGCGCCTAAACAGTGCCTTTTGCACTCAAGCTCGTCCTTTCCTCCTCTCTCTGTCTCGTTCGACAACTATATTGACAAATCTGTTGTTGTGTCGTGATACAACACTTATTCCATCACACCGATTCATTTCTCAACAGTTCTAGCAGTCAGTCGCTTTTTCCCTTTTGCTTTCCGCCGCTTTTTTTTTCGTGGAATACGTAACTACGTACGGCCCCCCTTTTTTTTTCTTCTCTCCCGCAAGCAGATTATCAACTTTGTCTGCCAAAAAAAAAGGCAATGTCAATCTGGCGTGGCATTTCCAGCGCAACACAATGGCTGGCGCACGAATTCGGGCTCGCGACGATGCGGAAAACGGGAAAAGACGTCTACCTCATTATTCTGGCGCGGTACCTGCGGCTTTGTGCTTACGGCGCCATTGCGCTTATTCTCGCACTTTTCTTCCAAGAGCAAGGGTTTTCAGACGAGCAGATTGGGCTGTTTATGACGTTGACGCTGCTGGGCGATGTGGTGATTAGTTTGCTGCTTACGCTTGTTGCGGATTCGCTAGGGCGGCGGAGGACGCTTTTGCTGGGCGCGGTGTCAATGGCGGTGTCAGGTGCTGTTTTTGCGAGTACGAGTCATTATTTTGCGTTGCTTGTGGCGGCAATTGTCGGTGTCATTAGTCCGACGGGGAATGAGATTGGGCCGTTTCGAGCGGTGGAGGAGTCGACGCTTGCGCATTTGGTGGATGAGAGGGAGAGGGCGGATGTGTATACTTGGTATGTTGTTCTTGCTGTGCTGGGGACATCGACGGGGTTGGCGGTGGGAGGTGTTGCGGTTGATCGGTTACAGGCTTTGGAAGGTTGGACGGCTCTGGATGCGTATCGTGCCATGTTCTGGATTTATACGGGTGTTGGGTGTGTCAAAGCACTTATGGCGCTGTGTATGAGCCAGCGGTGTGAGCAGAATGGTGCAGTCGACAAGCACAATGCCAACCCTGTATCTACAGAGACAGAGCCACTGCTGGCTGAAAGTCAAGATACTGGAAGTGTGAATGTGCCGGCACAAGAGGAACGTTCTGTGGAACCCGAGAAGAAGAGAAGGTTTTGGCACTCCATTAGCACAATATCAAAACCTAGTCGTGTGGTACTAGTCAAGCTTTGTAGCTTGTTCTTCCTTGATTCTCTGGGCTCGGGCATGGCTCCGTTCAGTTTGATCAACTACTACATGGACCAGAAGTTCAACTTGCCAAAAGGGAAGCTTGGAGGCATCATGTCAGCAACTTGGTAAGTATCAGCATCGTATATATTCTGTCCGTCTGACTGACTGATGTTCAGGTTCGTCTCAACTATTGGCAATATCTTTGCCTCAAGTCTGGCCAAGCGCCTCGGCTTGATTCAAGCCATGGTAGCCACTCACCTCCCGTCATCTATCTTCCTAGCTCTTCTCCCGGTTCCCGCTGGTCTCGCCCCAACTATCTTCTTACTTGTTTCTCGCTCTGTACTCAACTCGATGGATCAAGCACCAAGGTCAGCCTTTCTCTCCATTGTGGTGCTGCCAGGAGAGCGCACAGCCGTCATGGGTGTAGTCAACATTCTAAAGATACTGAGCCAGAGCGCTGGTCCAACCTTTACGGGCCTTCTTGCTGGCAACGGTCATTTCTGGGTGGCTTTTGTGACGGCGGGTTGCTTGAAGGCAGTATACGATCTGTTGCTGCTGGCGTTTTTTGGAGGCAGAGTAGAATCACGGAGACATGACAGCGAGCAGACTGAGAACAGGGTAGACGAAGTTGGAGACGTGGAGGTCAGTCCGTCTGGGGAACGGACCGATGTGCAGAGGTCGGCTTGATTGTTCACGGCATGACCTTGGATGTGGAGAGCAGCCGTCTGCTGACTGACAGCCACAGTGCCGAAGGTGAAAATGGACCATTGATAGTCAAGTGTTTACGAATGCGCCTGTTAGCTAGTGAAAAGACAATTGAAAACAAGTCCGCCAAGGCGTGTTACTCCACTCGCTCCGCTTGGAATCGGGCTTTGTGCCCCGAAGAACCCTCCGCTCTCGGGCTGGCTAGAAGATTCCACAGGAGGTTGGCGGGAAGGTTGGTGAGGCTCTACCTTGGTCAACGCCTTGGCATGGCGGTTGGACGCCTGGACGCGCTCTCGTGCTTCTTGGCGGCAATTCTCTCCGACTCGTATACGTACTTGTTCGCCGCGTTTTCCATCTTTTGTCTACCCCGTCCTCCACATGCCCCAGACTTAGCGGGTACCCCAGATACACTTGCCGTTCGCTAGACACCAATTGAACGGTTGACTATCTGCGGCTGCCTCTCCGCTCCCATCGGCTTTTGCTTTGGAGCCAAGCAAAGACAGATGCGCAAAAGAGATGCCGATAATGTCCTATGCCAGTCTAACCTCTCACAGACTGGTCACATGTCAGGCTGTCCAATCACACAACATGTCTACCGGCACAAGAGAAAGCTCCACTTCTTTGCACGCGACCGAGACCCAGGGCGACCACCGCCTGCACTTGCGCTTGGCCCAAACCATGCACCAGTAGACCCCGCAGAATTTTTATGCTTAAAGGCCGCCGCATATCCTTACCATCCCAGTGTCACGGTAGCAGCAGCAGCTTCCCCGGATTCTCTCTCTTTCCTTGTAGTATCGTGAGAGAGTGTGGAGCGGCGTTGCAGGATCCTCTTTTCTCTCTCTCTCTTTTCCCCACTCTTGTTGCTATCCTGAACTGGGTCAATAGCACCTCTTCTCCTCGGTCCGACTGCCTGGTTGATACAAACCCTCGCAGATATGTCTGGCGAGAAGGATATCGAGCCCACTGCGGCTCCCAAGCTGGAACATGATATCGACGACCATCACAAGCTTGCTGCCAACAAGGTCATCAATGACGCACGGCTGGCGTCAGACAAGGAGCGCAAGATGACCCTCATGCAGGGCATCAAGCTCTATCCCAAAGCCATTGGCTGGTCCATTCTTATCAGCACATGTATCGTTATGGAGGGCTACGACGTCTGTCTGCTCAACAACTTTTTCGGTTTCCCGCAGTTCAAACAAAAGTATGGCGAGCAACTTGCAGATGGCACGTGGGAAATTTCCGCACCATGGCAGGCTGGATTGTCCAATGGAGTCATTGTGGGCGAGATCATTGGCCTTTTCTTGAACGGATGGATCAGCGAGTGGATTGGTTACCGTTATACGGTAATGGGATGTCTGACTTTGATCATTGGCTTTACCACTATCTTCTTCACTGCTCAGACAGTCGTGCATCTGTTGGTTGCTGAGATTCTCTGTGGTATTCCTTGGGGTGTCTTCCAGACTCTTACCATTACATATGCTTGCGAGGTCTGCCCCGTTGCCCTGCGTGGATACTGTAAGTCCAACCCCCCCTAGGTTCATACCAAGACAGTATGCTTACAACGTGGTAGTAACAACATACGTCAACTTCTGCTGGGGCCTGGGTCAACTCATTGGTATCGGAGTCATCCGTTCTCTCGTTGACCGTCCAGATGAATGGTCCTACCGTATTCCCTACGCTCTGCAATGGATGTGGCCGGTTCCCCTATTAATTGGTGTCTTCCTCGCCCCTGAATCCCCCTGGTGGCTCGTCCGTAAAGGCAGACTGGAAGACGCAAAGAAGTCGCTTCTCCGCCTCACCAGCCTCAACCGTGAGACCGACTTTGACGCTGAAGAGACCATTGCCATGATGGTCCACACGACCGCGCTCGAAGAGAAAATCACCCAAGGAGCCAGCTACTGGGACTGCTTCAAGGGAACTGATCTACGCCGCACTGAAATCGTCTGCATGGCCTGGGCAATGCAAAATCTCAGTGGCAACGCCTTCTCCGGATACTCGTCCTACTTCCTTCAGCAAGCTGGTCTCTCACCCTCCACCTCCTATGACTTCGCAATGGGCCAATACGGCATCAACATGGCCGGTGTCTTCGGCGCATGGTACCTAATGAAAGTCGGAATCGGACGCCGAACGCTCTACCTCGGCGGTCTCTGCGGTCTCTGCGCCATGCTCTTCGTCATGGGCTTCCTTGGTCTCGTGCCCAGCTCTGAGCGCCAAACCGGCGCCATGGCAACAGGCGCCATGATGATTGTCTGGGCCATGTTCTACCAGCTCACCGTTGGAACCGTATGCTACTCGCTTGTCGCCGAACTGTCTACCCGCCGTCTGGCCATCAAGACCGTCGTCTTGGGACGTAACTTGTACAATATCATCGGTATCATAACATCTGTCCTTACTCCCTACATGCTCAACCCTGGAGCGTGGAACTGGTAAGTTCTTTTCTTCATTTCAAGTCACCATACTTTCCAAGTTGACATCCTAACCTTGCAAACAGGGGCAATTACGCTGGCTTCTTCTGGGGCGGCTCCTGCTTCCTCAGCATTGTATACACCTACTTCCGCCTCCCCGAGCCCCGCGGCCGCTCCTTCGCCGAGCTCGATCTCCTCTTCGAGAAGAAAGTCAGCGCCCGCAAGTTCGCCACCACCCACGTCGACGTCTTTGAAGATGGCCACGTCGAGGGCACCACCGTCTTTGACAAGTATGAGGAGAAGGTCGATGCTGCTGTGAGAACCGAGTCTGTTACTGCTTAAGTGTTGAGAGAGTTTAATGACGTTTGATTGCTTTAGGGGAATGCTTGATACCGAATGGTTGGGAGGACAGGACATCTTTTCTGGGATACCAATGATGAACTGCGTTGATTTGTGTTTGTTCTATACGAATGTATGATGAGATGAAATCGGGCATCTGTATATCCTAGCTCTACGTAATACTACGCTTAAACCCTTTTACATCGATTCCATCCATGGCAAATCTGCGCATGTGACAATATCAAACAACAAACCACGATTCGCATTCTTGAAACAACAAGAGGGATATCCAAAAGACCCAATATCACAAGCAAACAAATTAGATTAAGCTGCAAAATACGTGCGTCTCAAAGCAAATATTTCCTTTCCCGTTCCTCCCAAAAGCGTACACCCACAAAGTGACAGGAACCCAAAGACTAACATGCCGTAGCTTCCCCCCACACCAAGCGAATGCTTTACTACAAGAAGAGAGAATGTTCGGACAAAGGAAAGAAAAAGTGCATGCGTGCGCTGCGGAGATAGTGTTGGTAAAACACAGAGGGACAGACAGACAGAGAGAGAATGAGAATCAAACGCTCAAAGGTACAAAGACTAGGGGCGGCGCCATGCTAAACATACGTACTCGTACAAGACAAGAAAGAGCGATTCAAGATCTTTTGTGCAATGATCGTGATGCGTTTATGGACTTGCAATTTCCCACTTCTTAGTTTCCCCCAGAGGCCAAGTGGTCAGCAGCCTACCGAGTGTTAGTCAAACTTCCCATATGCATAGTGAGAAGCTATAATGCTTACCTTGTTGATGTCATAGTCGAATTTCTCAAGCGCAGAAAGAGCGTCGTTACGTGCGTAGCCCATGCCAGTCAGCTTCTTGAGAATGGGGTCGTCGTGTTCAGTTCCAGTGCTGATGGCACGGCCAAGTGGAGGCATCTGAGGTGACAATTGCTGCGACTTGGACGACGATGCGGCAGCCTCCTCCTTGTCAAGTGTGTCAAATACGGACTTGCCAAAGTCGGTCGAGGCTTGTTGTGAGTGCGCGCCCTTGTCAGTCTGCGAAGACTCAAGGTTGGAGAAAATGGCATCCCAATCCTGAGATGAGGAGCCCGGCTGAGGCTGCTGGGATTGTCCACCAAAGGTCTGCGATAAGTGCTCGAAGTCGCTAAAGCTGTCGTCTCCGCGAGGCTTGCCAGTGGGTGTTTGCTGCGAAGCCATGGTGTTCGACTTGGAGGCAGCTGGCGAATCAAAGACAGGGTTGAACTCATCAAGTCCCTCACGATGCTGCGAAGAGAACATAAAGTCATCATCAGCCTTGTCATCTTCCTTGGCATCGGCAAGATCATCAAAACCAGCGTCAAAGTCGTCATTGAAGGCAGATTTTCCGAGCTGAGGAACATTGCTGGATGGTGATGGGCCCTTGTTATTCTCGTTGGCACCATATGTCAGGGCAGAGTGATACTGGTCTGAGGGCACAGTGGAAACAGGAGTATCGAGAGGAGCTGGTGAAGTTGTGGCAGACTTGGAAGGACCACCAAAGAGAGCAGCTCCATGGCCACCTGGTGGGTTAAATGATCTTTCAGGGCCTTGCGCAGTGTCAGGAGAGCCAGCAGACGTCGGGTTCTCACGAGCAGGAAGGAGACCACCAAATTCAGGGGGGAACTGGTTTGAGCCACTTCTTGTCGTGTTCACAGCGGAATCATAGGTAGGTGGTGACTTTTGCGCACCAGGAGAGGGCAGGCCGCTAAGGTTGGAGTCCAGACGAGTGGTCGGAGGCGGAGCTCGGTAGAGCTCGTCGCTTGAGGCAGTGCCAGGACGTTGCTGTTGCTGAGAGCGCTGCTCTGGTCCAAAGCTAGTACGCTTCTGGTTTGGCGATGCGGATGTGAAGTTATCATCAAATCCTCTTCCGTCGTTGCTGTCGCTGTCGTCATCGTGCGCAAGATCTTCAATTGGCGGGAACTCCTTGTTGAATCTGTTAGAATCCCCTGTTGGTGCACTTGCGTTTGAAGCGGTAGCGGCAGTCTGACGGCTAGGACCGAAGCCTGCAAAAGCTGCGTCAAAGTCGTCCTTGCCTCCCCGGGGCTGTTCACCAGAGGTGCTGCCAAAGGGGTCAGCGTTGTTGGTTCTCTGTGGAGCACTCATACTGCTCTCGCCAGTCTTGTTCTGCTGCAGCGGTGTTCCAGAGTCCCGTGGGAACGCTCCGGGAAGATCTTGTGTTCCAAAGTTGAAAGTGTCCTTGCGATCTTCAGTCTTGGCGATTGAGCGCTGGGTATCGCTGGTAACGCTGGTTACTGGAGAAGCCGAGAAAGTGCGGTTAAACAGAGCTGGGTTAAAGTTGTCGGTTTCTGTCCTGTTGGTATCGGTACGCTCAACAGTGGGCTTCTCAGCAATCGGAGTGCCAGCGGGCGAAGCCTGCGAGATAGTAGGTGTCTCGTTTCCAGGAGCATGGTGACCATATCTGCTGGCAGAGGCAGGCGCACGCACAGAAGAGCTGAAGGAGTCCGACCGCGGCGCGCCTTCCCTCAATGGCAAGAATGCAGACCCAAACTGACGTGACTCAGGAGGAGCCGGTGGATCGGCAACACGGGGGGATTCCTGGTAAGAAGACAGAGGAGGCGATGTGGAGGGCGTGGGAACGTCAGGACCCTCAGAAGAGCGTACTGACTGACCAGATGGAGCAGAGAAGCCAGGTCCGAGACTCTGATTGTCAGGACGGAACGATACTGGAGGCGCACTAGTTTGAGGAGTACCGAATGAACCGAAGACACTATCAAAGTCCTTGTGAGGCCCCTCACGAGCAAAGCCAGAGGGCGACATGGTATTCTCGGCGGGTTGAGGCGATTTTCGGAAGAAGGGATTGGTGCTCTGGCTGGTTGTGGAAGCTGCAGGGCTGACAACGGCGGGTGACTGTATTGGCGAGCCGCGGGAAGTCTCTTCCTGGGACCTGCTCAAATCACTCATCTCGTTCTTGATCTTGTCGCGCTCGCCCTCGTTAGTAGCCAACTGCTTCTTGTTGATCGCTACCATGCCCTTTTGTTGCCGGGCATCGTTCCTCATCTTGTCAAGCTGGGGGCGAAGCTGCGCAATCTCAGCGTTGAGCTGACGGATGCGTTCTTTCAAGCTGTTGTTCTCGCGCTGATCAGCCTCAAGTTGACCTCCGACTTGACGGTGCTGGGTTTGAAGATCCTGGTAGGACGCCTCAATCATGGCAAGATCCTGCTGCAGCTTTCGCGTTTCATTGCGAGAGCTTGCCAAACGATCCTCCAGAGCTTTGACTGCCTTGACTTCTTGGTCATACTGCGTCTTAAACTGTGAGAGACGAAGTTCAAGGTCACGTTTCTGAGTGTTGACACTGTTGAGATCGCTTTCAGTTGCAGTCTTCTTGTTCTGAACCTCTTGCATCTGGTTACGTAGGGTAGTCATTTGGTTGGACATGTTGGCCAAGTCAGTGGAATCCTGCGTCAACTTCTTGTTGATCTCAGGATCAGCCTCTCCACCTAACAGGTCGTCCATAACGGACGGTGTTGAGTGTTGCGGCGCGCCAGAGATTCCAGACTGGCCCGTGGAGTGTGCCGTTAGAGTTTGACCAAAAGATGAGCTCGGCATGAAAGGCTTGAAGGTGGAGGCTGGGTTTCGCGGCTGAGGCTGGAAATGATGCGGGGAAGTTGGTGAAGCAGCTTTGCTACCAAAAGGATCGCTCTCGAAAGGCTTGCTGAATGTGGCTGATCCGCCGGTTGATTGTGGCTGCTGAGGAGGAGCAGGAACCGGTGCCGTGAAGGCGTCCAGGCCGAAGAGATCATCAGCAGCAGATTTGGGAGCAGGAGGAGGTGGGGGTGGGGGTGCCACTTGGGGTAGGGGGATCTGTGCAGCTTGGTTTGCGGGGGTGCGCAGGCTTGGTGGGATCAAATTGGGCGGCAAAGTTGTAGGGAGTTGGTCTCCCTTTCGTTGCTGCCGGATGAGGTACATGGCTACTGCAAACTCGTCCTTGGATAGCTGTCCTTCAGAATTGATGTCTGCAAGATCCCATATACCTGCAAGAACATCCTCAGGCAGACCCGAGTCACTGAAGAAGCGCACTGCCTGGTCTCCAGTAATGAAGCCGCGGCCCATGGTATCTACACCCTTGAACAAGTTGTCATACGATGCCTTCTCTTGAGGGCTAATTAGCCAGTCATTTCCAGCAGGCGGCGCGGGCGGGGGAGCGGCTCCAAAGGGTTGCCGGCCGAGCGGGCTTGGCTGTCGTGGTGCAGATTGCTGGCCGCTGAATTGACGTGGGATAGCCATGCTCTGGTCTGGACGTCCCGGTGGTGGCGGAAGTCCTCCACGCCGAGAAGCGGCTTCATACAGGCCCGGAGGCAGTGTGTTCGGGAGGGCTTTCATGTTTCCTGTGCGATACGATGCGAGTAGGTGCATGGCGATGATGAACTCTGTAACATTGAGAGCTCCGCGCTGCTCCGTGTCTGAAAGGTTCCATATCCGACCAAGAACTTCATTTGGTAACCGTGCCTTTTCGAAGATTTCTTTTGCGTTCTCGCCTGGAAGTTGTCAGTCAAGAGTCAGGCTGGGGTATGAAGCAGGGCTGTACCTGAAAGAATGCCATTGACTGCGCCAGACTTCTCAAACAAGCCCGCGTACTCGGCGGCTTTGGCAGGGACTAGCGGGGGCACGCGGATTGGGCCGTTGCCACTGACTTGAGGCTGGATGGAGCCGGTTGGTTGTGGGGAGAAGCCAGGGGCGGCGGGAGGAGCCGATGGTGGTGTTAGACCCTCAAACTTTGGCAAGGGGGCGGCTACTTGAACGTCAGCGCATGTGATCAACTGGGCACAGGGAGAGTCGCAAGAGGCATACGTCTAAAGGCAAGCTCGGGAGTAGGGTCTCGTCCTGCCTGGTAGTGTCCAATGAGGCGCAGGACCTGGCAGAAGCCAGCCATGGTCAAGAGACCGCGGTTTTCCGTGTCTGCAATCTGCCATATTTCACCAAGGACAGCTGGTGCTAATTTGGTCCGCTCGAAGAACTTGACGGCGATCTCGCCTGTTATGACACCGAGCTTTTCTGTGTCGGCTTGCTGGAAGAGATACTGGAAGACGCGCTTTTCCTCTGGCGTCAGGTTGAGGATGGGCTGATCTGCGCCGCATTAGCAGGAGCTTCACGATACATGGACATATGCCAAGGAGAACAATCCACATACTTAATTCCCCGCTCTGAGACATGTCGGCCATGATCGTGCGCGGTCAGGCAATGGCTCTGGTGGGGAGAGAGGCAGAAGCCTAGGGTTAACGAGGCTGCGAGTTCCCAGCGCGGTTGTGGAATAGGCGCGGGGAAACAGGCAACAGGCGGCCAGGCGTGGGAAAGTCGGGGGGCTGGCAAGCGGCGGGGGGCGGCGGGTGTAGCAATGGCAGCTGTGCACGGGGAGCTGCAGAGCAACAGTGAGAGATGGCGTAGGGCGGCGGAGGAGAAGGAAAAGCCGGAACGGCGTGGTAGGCGTGGGATGCGAGGGCAGCAATGTTGCGACTATAGTATGCTGGCAGGGTGAAGTGCTAGGCGGAAGCTACCTGGCCTAGTGCCGTGGTTGATGCGCGCCCTCGCCCGCCAACTCACCATTGGGCGGCCACAGCAGCTGTCAGCTCCCCTTCACCCTATCACGTCGCCGCACATGACCGTCCTCCGCACAGCAACGGGAGGGGCCACATACAGTCACATTTGCATCTGCGATGTGAAAAGCTCGCTGCACCTCCAACCAGCCACTTGCGTCTCGCCTGCCCGGCCTGCGAACCCACTTACACGTACATGCTGCCATCCGTATCGGAACAAGCGGGTGTGCACACAACATCCTGGTCCTTGTGCTACTAGGGTATCAATTGGTCTTCGCCACTCTATACGAAAGACGCCATCTCATGACTTCGTCGTTACAGGTTTTGTACAGGTGGAGGGGTGAGGAAATAAAAGTGCGACGACGACGAAGATGACGACGACGACGACAAAAATAACAGCCCAACATTGACGTGGAAGCAGAACAACAGCGTTTCATCGCCGCTCGCTCTGACCGCGGCCGTTCTTTTCCCTGCTACATTTGGCAAACGCCAGGCTGGGACTGCCTTCATCTCGCATCCCCCACGCCCGTCCCAGAAGCCAATCCGTGACACTAATCATCTTGGCAGTCCGATCCCAATGCTGGCCCTCATCTGTATGCTCGATAATGTGGTGCAGAATCCGTCCTTCCTCGTCAAACTCAAACTTGAACAGGCCTGTGAACTCCTGCTGTGGCCGCTTGGATCCAGCAACAATGCTCGTGATTTTCTCAACAACATCGCTGACCTGCCCACTCTCTTTCTTGTCCGACTTGCCGCATGTCTGCCATTTGACAATGAGTTTCTCATTGCGCACATTGCTTGCTGTCGAGCACCCTCCATTCTTCACCATGCGCTCAGACAATATCTTGAGCTTGACGTTGCCTAGTACCGGAACCTGTCCCCATGCGACCGGTGCTGTCCATAGTGCTGCAGCGTATGAGAACCTCCCGCTTACAGTAGGCAGGTGTGGGTGCGTCGAGGGAAATAGGTGGAGGCTGATGTGCGGGGAGAGGATGTCCTGGGGAAGTGGCGATATCAGGAGCGTCGGCAGGCGATCATGTAGGACCCTAATGGCTGTCGTCTTTGTTAGAAGTGTATCCCATTCCTCTATTCGTGTAGCAAACATACTGTTTCCCAGCTTCAGGTCGCGCTCGTTCATGCGCCTCTTCTCGCACTCATCGGGCTCGGAACTCGAGTATGGCGACGAGCTTGTGAACCAATGCCTCGACACTGACGCCCGTCTGGAGCCGACATCGCTGAGAGTCCTCTTGTATTGCCTGAGCCCTAGTATTCGGGGCGCCGTAAGCGAAGTCGCAGTTGTCGTGGCTTCAAGTTGCGTGCGGGCAAACGTCGAGAAGAAGCGCCGCATCAGACCGCTGGTCATGTGTGTGGATGAGAATATGCGACCATGTGTAGGGACAGGCGTAGGCGTCTAGAAATATCTCTGTCGTTCGGCCAAATACGGATTGCGGAGGAATCGGTCGCTGGCATGACGCTAGTCAATTGCAGTTGCACCACCAAAGGCCGGGGTATTCGGTCGTGACGTACGTAGCGCTAGCGCGACTCTCCCCATGTCCCAAAACGTATTTCCTGTTATGGCTTACCGTGCTCGCCACATGCAACTTCGCACGCCCATGCCCCGGGGGGGTAGGCTATTCTACATGCACCCGCCCATGACGTTTATAAAGATGGAGGCTAGTCTCGTGTGGTTTTCTCGATTCGAGACCCTCAAGATACTTTCACACGGCCAACTAAACCACCCTCAATCCCATCCCATGAACCATAAAGGTAGAAATGCAACCCCGCAATTGACTTACTGCCTCCACTAACAACCCATATCCTAGGCTAGAAGTCTCCTTCAAGACAAAAACCGAACCACCCAATTCCCGATATCCCCATCATGTCCTCCTCGGGCAAACGCATCGTCTTCACAGGCGGTTCAGGAAAAGCCGGACGCCATGTAATCCCCTACCTCCTCCAGCAAGGCTACTCAGTCCTCAACCTCGACCTAATCGACTTTCCCGACCCGGACGCCGGCGTCTTCACCCTAAAAACCGACCTCACAGACAGCGGTCAAGTCTTCAACGCCCTAACCACACACTTCAACTTCGCCGGCTACGAAGCACCACACGTCCCAGGCCCGCCCGACGCCGTCATCCACTTTGCCGCTTACGCCCGCAACATGCTCGTGCCCGACAATGAGTGCTACGCCGGCAACGTGCGCTCAACCTACAACGTCATCGAAGCAGCCTGCAAACTCGGAGTCCGCAAGATCATCATCGCCAGCAGCGAAACAACCTACGAAGTCTGTTTCGGCCAGGGCAACCTCGACTACACCGCCTTCCCCTTGGTCGAAGACGCAGACGTAAACCCGATGGATACCTACGCCATCTCCAAGCTCTGCGGCGAACGTGTAGCCCGCGGTTTCGCCCGCCGCTTCGACGCAGACATCTACGCCCTGCGCATCGGCAATGTCATCGAGCCCCACGAGTACGCCCGCGACTTTCCAAAATACATCCAAAACCCTGAGACGCGCAAGCGCAACGCCTGGGCTTACATTGATGCCCGTGATCTCGGCCAGATTTGCCATTTGTGCGTGCAGAAAGATGGGCTGGGGTTCCAGATTTTCAACGCGACAAATGATACTATTACCGCTACCTTTCCCACGAAACAATTTCTCGAGCAGTATGCGCCAAACACGCCTATTACACGCGAGATGGGCGAGTGGGAGGCGCCGTTGAGTAATCGGAAAATTAGGGAAGTGTTGGGTTTCAAGGAGGAACATGACTGGCGCAAGTATTATAATCCTGACCATTAAGAGGTCTTCATGAGAGGAGGGGGAAGAAAGTGAATGAATAGAGAAATTAGAGGTACGACATTTCCCGTATTATCAGATCTTTAGTTGAAGATACGATCCTTCACTGTAGGCTATTCGAGAAATCTGCCGTACCTATTTGCAATGGTACTGCACGAAGTGTTTATACCGTACTATGTATACATCTACATTGCAGCATCTCCATGTGATATACCGAGAGGAAGAACAACAATAATACCTCGCCCGTGTATCAGGAATCTCTGCTACATAATTGAACATACTTTACCTTGAAGAACGAGATAACTCAGTATAAGACTTGTATCACTCTACCCATTTCAGCGCTGTCTTCTTAGTAGGCCATTGCCATCGCTGGGCAGGAATCATCACGCAACAACTGTCTGTGTACAAAAATAATCCAGAAGAAGAAGAGGACTCCCACCCAACCCATCTCCCTCCCCCTTTCTCATCCAACCTCCAACACTGACTTCCATCCCGCCCGTGGAAATAATTTCAACGGCCGCGCTTCGTATCAAAAGAACACGAGAAAGAAATCAGCCACACGTCACGCAACAAAAAAGCAAAGCTGACTAATATCACGTTCAGTTGGTGGTGGTGGCGATGATACTCAGCTCGGCCGCGGAAAAGGAGTAAGATGTAAATGATTTCGTGTCATGTTACACAGGATGTAGCTGCTAATCTTTTCTCTTAACTGAAGAAATGATTTGGTAAAAGAAATAAACATCGGGGTTGGGTTGAGATGCAGGATGCGTGTGCGTGCATTGGAGGTCATACATCGCAAGTCTTCAATCAAGAAGAATACGTGACATGACTTCTTGTAGTCGGAAACTCTCACTGTTGTTTCGTTAGATGGCATATTTATAGTTGTGGCATTCTTCTCACTGTATTATACGCCCTAGGTATTGCTTCCCTTTTTGACCTTAATCAAAATCATATCACCATGTCACTGGTACTACTAAAACCACCAACTTTCTGAAGAGCTGACTGGTACTTGTTGTTGATGGTCTGGGTTGCATTGTAACTCTGTCTAAAGTGTATTTGAAATGGTTGATTTTGGCAAACACTGACCAACTGTAATCTAAATGACATCTCGAGACCCCTTTGATAACTACTCCAACTCACCAGAACAGTCTCATTCAAGCATGTAGTGGCGATTTCCCAAAGTTCAATTAATGATGTCACTGTTATTCGGCTAAGCTGTCGCTCACAACGCCAATTCTGCATGTGGGAACAAACTGGAAATCATCATATAAACTTTGAAAGCCTCTAGATTGGATACAGGGAGGACTATTATGATAGCGACTGCCGCTCGGATGGCTTTCGATCGTGTGATGTGTGACACAGACAGTACCAAGCAGGAATTTGACCAAAGGAAAATATAGTATTGGTATTGGTATGCTTGCTGTGAAGCACCTAATCAGGTTATTTACTCATCGTTGATCTTCTGGTTAGTCGGCACGTCCTTCTCAGACTTGCTCTGGACCAGCATTCCCTTGTAACCAGTAATGGGCTCACTTCCTTGAGACTGTAAAGTGTCAGTACCGTCACAAACAAATTGAGGCTCTCAAGATAACAAAATCACGTACCTTCAAGTACTCCTCGGAAGCCTCCTGCCATTCCTTTGTCATGGTACGGGGTCGGACAGGGTTGGCAAACATACGGGTCAAGGCAAAGATGGAAATGGCACCGGCAATGACTGCGGAGGAGAGGAGGAAGACGTTACGGCCCTCATCCGGAGGCGGGGGTCGGCGGGGACCGTGGGGGCCAAAAGCAATGTAGTAGGCTGTGAAAAGAAAGCACAGTCAGCACAATGCCTCCATGATGTTTTCCAACGTTTTGGGATGACTTCAGGTTGAGCACACCAAATGCCGCGGGCCAAGTTCGGCTATCTCGATCAAAACACGATATACGTCATACAAGGCCATGCAGCACCCAGTTACGCGAAATGGCAGGGTACATACCAGCCTTCTTTTCTTGCATGGTCAACTCCTTCCAGTCAGTCTTCATGCGGTCCCTAAGCGTCATCCACAGATCGGCCTGCTCCTGAGGGGGCATATCTTCCCATCGCTTCTCAATATTGGCGAGCGTCGGGTTGGAGATGGCGTGTGCCTGGCGGGACTGCTGAAGCTGGCAAGCTACCGGGGCAGCTCTGGGGAGAGCTGTGCGTGTCGCGGCGGACGGAATGACGATGGTCGAGCTCCTCGAAGCGCGGGCGATGGATGAGCGAAACATGGCGGCGGGTGGAGTGGAGAGTGTCGGAAGATGCAAAAGAAGGGAGGGAGATTCCCGTCAAGGGACCTAGAGGTGCCAATGGATCGTGGTGGTGATGGAGTCGAAGGTGGGCCAGGAGAGCTGTCTTGCAAAATGCGGTTTGCGAGAGGAACGCCAAGGTGGTGGAACGATCATTTCGCTGTGGCCCGAGCGCCCCCATCGACCAATGAGGGTTTCAGCGTTAGCTTTCCGGGCGACTTGCCCCAGCTTCACCACATATCATTGCAACAGCTTTTGCGCATCGTAATGAGGCTCAAATGCACATCGATACAAGGCGAGAGAGTCCATGAGTTCTCAAAGGCTTGTGTTGCGAGCCTTTACCGCGACTGCCGAGCGGTTCTCGATTTGACAACGGATCAAGCGAGACATGGCGCATCTTCGCTTTGCAGGGCGATAAGGCAAGAGACAAAGATTCACTCGTCCAAGCCGCGCAGGGCCAAAGCGATTTATGTATTGTAATTTGCATGGAACTCACATATTTCCTTCCCTTTCACCTCATTCTCGGGTACCTCAATGAGCATATAACGTGTGTACGAAACGCTCGCAAATTCGCTCAACGGCGGGGTAGTAAGACGAGATACAATACAATATACAGTAGTCTGTACTTCCTCCAAAACCACAGCACAGAGCATTATAAGTTGAAGCTAGAGTCTGTCGATAAGCTTTTAGATCTTGCCGGAGAGCATTGAAGTCAACGTTCCTGCCCATGTGCAAGCGTCGCAGATCCTTTATAGTGCCAGTGATGGGAGGCAGTAGTTGAGTCGCACCGAATTGATCCATCCCTTCAAAGTGTTAACGAGCATTCATTGTTGTTACAAAAATGTGTACTCAAGCTACATGATCTTTGTATTTCAAAAACTCATCGACAGCAGCGTCCTACAGAGGTGCACGACCAGATGCCAATCCCGTGATCGGAGCAGAAGCGGGACATGCGTTACTAGTATGCCACAAAAGCTCCGAGCTCAAGCTTAAAGCTCCAGCTTCATACAAAGCTCCAACTGCAGCGCCAATATGCTTTCGCGCCCCAGCTCTTGGATGCAGTAACTTCAATTTGCAGCGAATCACCGTAGCACCGGACGGCGGCAGCGTGGCGGGCTCCAGGACCCCTAAAACATAATGCAATATGCGTGTCGAACCCCGTCCCGGCCGCGGATACGCCACGCCTCATCCTAACCTAAGGTCGGCTTTGGCTGGTGGGGAGAGTCTCGGTGGTCACACATAATGCTCGCCTCGCCTCCCCGCGAACCGGTGATCCGTCGTGGCCGTGTTGCAGTCTTGGTTTTGCCTTATCGAATGACCAACAAAAGCTTTTGCCCATGACGGCGGCGGCGGCGGCCAGCTGTGCCGCGTAAACGTGCTTTTGACCACTCGCTTCTGATTACAACATTCACGTACACTTCTTTCGTAAGCGCTTCGCTTGAATGATTACGCAGCGCGGCGTGGCGTGTCTTCACCGGCGTCTAGCCACGGGCCAGTATATTGCTACGCGGCATATGCATGAGGCTGTAAGTTTCACAAAGGCATCAAGGTACTTGGCGTCGAGCCACGAGCATGTTGCGAGGTGGTTGATGTAGCATTGACTAGTGTACCACTTGACCAAAAGGTACCCAGGCTGACCTTCACGCCCTCCGGTGCTCTCCGCGGCTTCGAATCGTGGCTACCCTTGGCCGAGGTTGCGATTTCTCTGCCGTATCTGACAATGATCCAACCGGCCGGATGTGTGGGAGGGCGCAAAGGGTGTAATTGGGTCTAGGCGTGAGCTGCATGTCCGATGGCAGAAAAAGAACTACTAAAACTCTGTGACGTCCTCAGGGCTGGTAGCTATTTAGCTTGCCCCTCCCTCACCCCACCTAGCTCAAACCCAACAAAACACAGCACCGACCACAAAAATCTGCCTCTTACCACCTGCTCATCACCTTTTCTCACATATAAAGCAGTGAGCTCAGCCCGATTTCCATTCCTCAATTCAAGTCTATTAACTCTCTCAAAGCATCACTCTCAGTTCAACATGGTCGTCAAGGTATGCTCCGTTGTGTACCCCGCCGGACCCAGACACAAGCCATTGACACATCTTCACAGGTTGGTATCAACGGCTTCGGTCGCATTGGCCGCATCGTCTTCCGCAATGCGTAAGTACCCTTGGGCTTTATCCATTTGACGCCCACCAAAGCTGACCCCATATCTTAGCATCGAGCACAACGACGTCGACATTGTCGCCGTAAACGACCCTTTCATCGAGCCCCACTACGCTGTAAGCACTCCCTCAACCCAGAACCTTTGACCACAGCAAGCGTTTGCTTCGGCCTGACGCACGGGTATCATTTCTTTGATGGAACCATGCAGACTGACGTATACACAGGCATACATGCTCAAGTATGACAGCACACACGGCCAGTTCAAGGGTGACATCAAGGTTGACGGCAACAACCTGACTGTCAACGGCAAGACCATCCGTTTCCACATGGAGAAGGACCCCGCCAACATTCCATGGAGCGAGACTGGCGCTTACTACGTCGTCGAGTCTACCGGTGTCTTCACCACCACCGAGAAGGCCAAGGCCCACTTGAAGGGCGGAGCCAAGAAGGTTGTCATCTCTGCTCCCTCCGCTGACGCCCCCATGTTCGTCATGGGTGTCAACCACGAGACCTACAAGCCCGACATCGAGGTACTCTCCAACGCCTCTTGCACAACCAACTGCTTGGCTCCTCTCGCCAAGGTCATCCACGACAAGTACACCATCATTGAGGGTCTCATGACCACCATCCACTCATACACTGCCACCCAGAAGGTCGTTGACGGCCCCTCCGCAAAGGACTGGCGTGGTGGACGTACTGCTGCTCAAAACATCATTCCCAGCAGCACTGGTGCCGCCAAGGCTGTCGGCAAGGTTATCCCCGAGCTCAACGGTAAGCTCACTGGTATGGCCATGCGTGTCCCTACCGCCAATGTCTCGGTTGTCGACTTGACTGTTCGCATCGAGAAGGGTGCTTCCTACGACGAGATCAAGCAGGCCGTCAAGGAGGCCTCTGAGGGCTCCCTCAACGGTAAGACTTTTCCCATGAGCAACTTGCATATACAAGCTAATGCAATACAGGTATCCTTGGTTACACTGAGGATGACATTGTTTCCACTGACTTGAACGGCGACAACCGCTCCTCCATCTTCGACGCCAAGGCCGGTATCTCCCTTAACAAGAACTTTGTCAAGCTCGTCTCCTGGTACGACAACGAGTGGGGTTACTCCCGCCGTGTCCTCGACCTCCTGGTCTACATTGCCAAGATTGATGGCAACGCTTAGGAGTCAGGACAGAGCAGGGCAACGCCCAAACTTTGAAACAAATCTTCATTATATCAAGGATCCGACAAATCCTCGGAACTTCTGGCTAGGCGCGGATTACGCGGGGATGAAAATAAGGGCTTAGCGGGGAATGTTTTATGCTAAACATGAAATGAATGAATAATAATTACCGCAACAACTGTTTACAAACACACATGCACACAAGGTGACGTTGAGTCTTCCTCTCGGTCAGCTGCAAGATAGTGGAGCCGCCCCTGGCACTGCGTTTTCTAGCGTTCCCTCACAAGCTAGTTCCCGAGGTATAGCTACCACGCGGAGAAGTTCGTCTCGCCCACATGCGAATGATATATTTGCGGATCCTCTTTCCCGCTTTCCATTTTCCTATCCTCAGCCTCGGGAATGCGTTCTGGACCGGGTTCCGAAATCTGGCGAGAAAGAAGCGGGGGAAGTCGGGTGGCCAACGCGGCTTTGGCAAGAGCCTGGATACTGCCGGCTTTTCTCTAAAATCAATATTCGACAGCTGCTAAACAGTTCCTGTGTGAGCACCTGTATCTTCCTCCAATCCAAACCGGCGCCATGGACTTGTTTTTTCATCCTATGAAGATGCGCTATTGTTATGCACGGTCTCACAAACTTAGGTATTAATTCCAAATATGGTCATGTCTGGAAGATGAGAGAAAGAAAACAATTGTACATTTCAAATGATTTCAATCTGAATTAGATGTGTTAGGAAGACAGCACGATACAACTATCTCCAGCTTGTATGGTCTCTAGGGAGCAAACGCGACACGTGTCCGTTGTCCACCCTAATAGCATGGACACATGAAATGTAGTCACTACTTATGAAGAGAAACTCGAGGAATAGAGCTGCAACTCAAAACCGGTGACGAATAAGGACTAATTGCACAATCCTTACCCAAAAAAGCAACAATACATAACTACCTAAAACGTTCCTTCATGGAGGTTGAATATAGTAGCCCCGCATTGATGGAATAGGCAAAGACACATGGTTTTATGAATAGACAGTACTTGGATTACTAGTTCAAAACATGTAGAAACTCAAATCTATAGCGTAACGTAGTAGTACCATAATTGAGAATCAAAGGGCATTTTGCATATGGCGCTAAATAACTTGGCATCGCTTAGTCATGCAGTAAACCTTGGCCCATCTATGGAACCTGCCATGTAGCGCTCCACTTTATCCCCTACTATCAAAGACGACATCACCTAATCCTGGCTCTAGAAAGCTGTAATCAGCCGATGCCTTGCTTGCGATAGTTGCAGCTATATTAACGCTTTATTCGGAGACAGAAATTGGTAAATGAAGCTCCCGAGTGTCGGTCGACTTTGAACGTGATAGGATTATCAGCCATCAAGAGCTGCAGCGGCGAATCAACTTTACTAACAATTTTGCAGACGCCACCCATCAAAAGCTGCGAATACTACGAAATCAAAACTATCAACAACTTTACCGTACAGTGGGCTGTGGCTTCTAGTTCGATGCGGTAGCAAGATCTTCTAGTGAGTATTCGTTTCTTGAGCATCAGACGGTCTCTTTTATCTCACCCCACTTCTTCCAACTACTGATTCTAGAGAGACAAGACTAGCGCTGTACGTCTTCACTCCTGTCTCGAGCTACTGTCTTGCGTCTCCTAGAAAATGTCTCAGTTCCCTTGGCCACGCATGACATTAAAAAGGACCAAGACTCTCATCATTTCCCTGAAATTTCTTGTTCAAATCAAGAGGCGACCTCTATCAACTTATGTTGTCCTTTGTTTAGTATAATTTCTATACTGACGCATCTACCTAGCTGCCGGCTCGCGAGTGTGAAGCGAGGCTTACTAGCCCGCCTCGCCGTCAATAATCAAATCAAGTCATGGATGACGAAGACTTCCCGATGGGAGAAGACTCAATCATTATCTCCACAGAGCCAAACGGTGATCATGCACCAGAAACAGTCGTTCCTTCTAAAATATTTGGCAATAGCAAGGGCCCACTGCTGTCTAAACAAGAGCAACTACCCTTCCATAGTCCATCCAAAGGTCCCTTGTTGCAGCCGAATATACATCGAAGTAATCCCGGATCGCACCGAACAACCAAATCGCCTAGTAGCTGGTCAGATAAAATGAACACGTCAAGACCGACTCCAGCTCAACATTCTAGCCCGCAAGTCCGCATACCTCCTAAGCCACGGTCTACACTTGTTTACCCCACTTCAAAAACGGGACTCGTTTACGACCCTCGTATGCGATTCCACGCCGAACTCCCAGATATGAACATCAACCCCGACGACATTCATCCTGAAGACCCTCGGCGTATCCATTCGATTTTTGAGGAGCTCAAGCAAGCTGGTCTAGTGGCTTCTAGCACTTCAGAAGAAGACAAAGAAGATCACTGTTGGAGAATCGCGGCCCGATTTGCCACAAGACCTGAGATATTGCTCATTCATACTGAAGAACATTATGATCTTGTGGAGTCATTCCAAAGTAAGTTTTGATTATCCTCGGTTTGATTGAACCATGATTAACTGTTTGACAAGATATGACCTCCGACGAGCTAAAGTTTGAAGCTGAGCGGCTGGACTCAATCTATCTCAACAACTCGACTTACGAATGTGCTAAGCTCGCAGCTGGTGGTGCTATTGAAGCTTGTAAAGCGGTAGTACAGGGAGCTGTGCGCAACGCTATTGCTATCATTCGACCTCCCGGACACCATGCGGAAAGCGATCAGCCGTCAGGATTCTGCATCTTCAACAACGTTCCAATCGCTGCCCGCGTGTGTCAGGATGCTTATCCAGAAACTTGTCGCAAAGTCTTGATTTTGGACTGGGATGTACACCACGGCAACGGCATACAACATGCTTTCTACGATGACCCCAATGTCCTTTACATATCGCTGCATGTTTTCAAGGATGGAACCTTCTACCCTAATCTGCCTGACGGCAATCTTGACTATTGCGGTGAAGGCCGTGGCGAAGGAAAAAATGTGAACATTCCATGGGCGGAGCATGGGATGGGAGATTCAGAATACCTTTATGCTTTCCAGCAAGTTGTTATGCCGATCGCCACAGAATTTAACCCTGATCTTGTCATCATTTCAGCTGGGTTTGATGCAGCCGAGGGCGACTTATTAGGCGGATGTTTTGTTACGCCTGCATGCTATGGTCACATGACACATATGCTCATGAGCCTAGCCAAGGGAAAGCTCGTTGTGTGTCTCGAAGGTGGTTATAATCTGCGGTCGATCGCACGCTCTGCGCTAGCGGTAACCAAAGTTCTCATGCTAGAGCCTCCGGATCGCTTGCGTGATGACCTTCCAGCACCAAAGGACAGCGCTGTGTACATTGTGGAGAACGTCAAACGTCAGCATTCAAAGTATTGGAAGTCGCTTTATCCGAAACACCTGGACAAAACGGACTCTGGATACCAGGATGCGTACCGGTTTCACGAAATCATCCGAGAATGGCAGAGTCAACGTCTAGCTGCAGAGCACTCGATGGTTCCCCTTCCTCCCCTTCAAATCAACAAAGCTGGCTTGGCACAAACGTTTGAGCACAACATCATCGCTACGTAAGTACTATACAATCTTCGTGAACATTTGTACTTACCTATAATAGACCAAAGTTCATGGAGCAATATCCCTTACTTGTGATATTCCACGACCCGCCGAGTCTCCAAGATCACTCCGATCCCATGTCTGGCAAGAGAGAGCCACACAATACATGGCTCGTAAGTACAAAAACAGTCTTGTACTGTGTAATGGCTGACTTTGAACTGAAGACTGATGTTACCAAGAGGTACATTGACTGGGCCATCAAAAACGACTTCCAGGTCATTGATGTTAATATTCCCAGAGTGGTAGCAGTTGAGGATGTAAGTTCCTACAACTCTTCAGTATCAAGGCCTGCTAACGTAAGCTAGCCGAACATTGGTTTCACAAAATCAGACAACTCAGTGGTTCGTGCACAGCAAACACGTGAGCTCGCGAGCTATCTATGGGAAAACTATATCGAGTAAATCAGCCATATGACCATTTCGGGTATCTGTTAACGTAAGTCTAGGCCGAATGAAGCGACGCAAGTGTTCCTAATGGGGGTCGGTGATGCCTATCTCGGACTTGTAGATTTGCTTAGCCACAACGGTAAGCTTTATTCGGTGGTATTGAGATTTCAGCCGCTGAGTCTGTAGAAAACTGCACCGATCCCGATAGTCCGGTCGAGTGTCTTATCGGCTTTGTGGCTGAAACAACGATTCAGTCGATAAAGCGAGCGACAGACGATACCATCTCCAGTTGGTACCACTCGGTAAGCAGCACTCGACCTTGAGGCTGTATCCTTTCTGACAATTGCAGCATTCAATGATATTCGTAAAGAATAGCCACTTCGTTTGGGACCCGAGCCGCCAACGTAAGATGCGCAAGAAGCTCGGAAATCTTATAAAGTCATCTCAGGATACACTGGATGACATGTTGGAGCAGCATTTGGAGGAAGTGCAGGAACTGCTTTTGGAGAAGAAGAGCGAGTTCGAAGAGATGAATGATATATCAAGTCGCACTGACGAGGGACCGCAGACCACATCGATTGGGCTGCAGAGTTCGCCCCTCCCAAGAGCCCCTTACGATTCGAAGAAGTTCGAGCCCGGCGCCAGACAAGAAAACGCGGTCAATGCAGTGAAAAGCCCTAAGATGCCAGCGGTTGGTCTGTTCGCTGTAAGTCCCAAGACTTCAGGGACCAGAAGTCCTATGAAAAGACCGTCTTCATAAGCAGGCGGTACTTGATCGGCGGGTGGCGCTGCTCGGGATTTGTCTTTGTTCTCTGCATGGCATGGCGTTTGATTTCTCTCATAGGATGCTGTCGTACCTCTGGCATACCCAACCCCAATTCATTTGAATCATCTGTATCATCTGTATCATGGAACTGAGCTCGATCTTCTACTCTTGAGTTAATCATGGTGCACTATACTAGTGTGTAGAAAGCAAGCATCCAACTGGTAGTTAAACTTTATGGGGAAGGCGCCGGCTTGCACTTCACCGCCTCACTCAACTGCCGAGCCTCACTCACTCACACATGTTGGTTGATAAGATGGACAATGTTTGTAAAGACTCCTGTTTCGACCCTGCGGCGTGGACTTCGCTTGCTGATGATTAGTACGAACGGTTGCACCCCTACGTACATGTGCTCTCCCCGCTTTCGCGTGCTCTTTCAACCACTGTCTCGGTCCTCCCAGCGCATACATAAATATATACACGCCTTACAGCGCTATCCTGGAGCGCGATGCTGAGCTCAGCCCGCCGGATGCGCCAAGGCGATAGATCCACCTTGCTTGGCGCAGGTTAAAGTTGGGCTACTAGGCTCACTCAGTGCTGGCGGCTCAAAATCCTTAACGCTCATTCCTTGACGACAACTCAGCTCGCTCCACCAACCCAACTGACGCGAAAGTAGGGACAGCCTACTCGGACGGCAGGACAGCCACAACCCGCCCAGGCCTTCTCCCTAGTCTAGCTTGCAGAGGCAAGTACGGGCTGTGGACGAACCCTGTCGAGGGTATTGCTGTGCCACATGCTCGGAAACCCTCGAAGCAGAATGAGGAAAAAGGAACGAGATTCTCAAAATACCTACGTACGCGGCGCCTATTAGTGGGTGGGGAGGGGATCCGGAAATAGCTCTCCACCTAGGCTCAGCACTCCCCACATTTACACATGTTCACCCTCCATTTCAAGCATCCTTCGTGTGTGTGTGTTGCTGACGGCTGACGGAGAGCCCCGCTGTTGCCGGCCAGCATGTCCTGCCGTTACTGCACGCCTCAAAGGCGCCTTGAACAGGTCTGGGCAAGGGCAATCCTGCCGGATTATCACTAAGGGAGGTGGTGATTGGTGACGTGTGGACAACAAAGAGTGCTTAGGGTGGTGGCCCTAAGGCGCTGACCTATTGCCTTGACTAGTACCCATACTGTGGCTGGCGGGGCTGAGGTTGGTGTGATGGATCTAGGGCTAGACGGGTAGGATCGTGCCTTAAGGTTGAGCTCAGCTACTTTCCCATCGTTCCCCCCCCCCCTCGTACCTCGTTTTTTTTTACCTTCTAACTCTTCTGAAAATATATTGCTTTACTGCTAACGGCCAGGAGCGCGAGTCGAATGCGGTTGGTCTTTGAAATCAGGCCTACAACTAGAAACGGGACCCTGAGGTACTTTGATATTTGTATCTGCCAGGCTGATACATAATCCCTCAAAATGAGGCTCACATCGACTGCAAGGCTGGCGATTGCTGCTAGCCAACTACTTGCTTCCCCAGCTGTAGCACAGATCGACAGTGTGATCACGAGCATAGTAGGGAGCCCGGCGACATCATCAGCATCGTCACAACCAACACCATCAAGAGAACCAAAAGTACACCTGATCAAAGCCGGTGCGGGAGGCTTCAAGTTCACGCCGCAAGAGATTCACAATGTATCAGTGGGAGATATTGTAAGCTGGGAATTCTATCCGCCTGATCACTCCGTTGCAAGAGCAGAGTTTGGTTCAGCATGTGTACCCTATGAGGAGACGGGCAAGGACAAAGTAGGCTTCTGGTCTGAAACGCAATGGGTCAACGACACAAGCCAGGTTTGTCTCTTGTAGATGTGCAAAGATGTTTAAGGAGGGCTAACCATTGGTAGCTTACATACTTCAACATCACCATCAACTCAACCGAACCGATATTCTATTACTGTGCGGCACCAAACAGCTGCATTGGAGAGCATATGGTCGGCGTGATTAACCCCAACTCGACCCAGACATTGGCGTCGCAGGTACAGGCTGCCGCCTCGGCAGATTTCCAAATCGCGCCTGGCGAGCCAATTCCCGCCGAGGCCACGTCGTCGGCAACATCTACACCAGCTAGCAATGCAAACAATGGCAGTCACAAACTCTCGGGCGGGGCGATTGCCGGCATAGCGGTAGGCGGGGCTGCTTTTGTGGCCTTGTGCGCAGCCCTATTCTTCTTTGTCGGTCGTTCCAACTCGCTGAAGAAGACAATCAAACGCCATAACGCCACAACCAGTGTGGATCCACACATGAGCCAATACGGTGGTCCCGGGGCGAGGTATGGCGATGGAGGACTTGCGTCGCCCGGCTTCGCACCGGCCCGGCCTGGATATGCGACGCCGCCGCCGCCAGGCCATGTCGGCGATCATGGATATGGCTCGCCGCCCCAATATGGGCAACACGGTGTGGGAGAAGCGCATCCCGGATGGACTAGCCCGATACCGCACCAAGGACACTTGAGCATGATGAGCAGTACGAGCGGCATGAGCCAGGCGCAGTAAGTTACGAGACCAATGCTGTGAGTGTAGATGGATGCTGACGCTCCTCTTTTTTTCTTCTCACTTAGACTCGACCAATTGAAGTATGCGAACATGAGCACACAACCGGCGCCAGCAGAGCTACATAGTCCGCCGATTGGGCAGCAGGGCTTTTCAGCGGAGCTCGAGGCACCAGAGCAGGTCAAGAGGACGTGAAGGGAGAATGGAGGGTCGTGAAAAGGGGCGGTTATTTGTATTGTTTTTTTTTGCATGCGAACTATGCGATACCACCATGTAAGGGTAAAGGGCAGATAAGCGGCGTTAGTACAACCATGTGAGGATTTGGATTTTTTACAGGAAATAAGAGATGTGGTTGCGGGGTGTGTGTTTGTAATTGACGTGGGTGGAGACGGGGTGGGTCGGTGGTGATGTTGCATGGTGTGGTGTAACAAGTAGTGTAGTATTGTAGGTAATGGCAAGGCCAGCTGCCTGGGCATTCGGGCATGCAGGCATAGCTAGTGCCGAGACATGACTCCTGGCCTTGGGGGCATGTACGTAAGCATGGCATTTGCAATGGGAAACGGGGATGGGGGACAAAGAGGTTGCTACGGGGAAGGCACTGCATGCTAGCGAAAAGCATGGGTAGATGACGACAGCAGGCAAGCGAGGCGATTGGCTGGGCAGACGGTCTGCCATGTCTCCCCCGCCCCGCCCGCAGCCCGTGTTGTGGGTGTTGGAGCGGAAAGTGCGGCAAAGAGGCGCGCACTGGAAGGAGAGTAGAGTAGGAGACACGGATCGATAGTATGGTGAGTAGCTGGACAGGATTTGGCTAGAGCAGGGCGTAAGCATGTAGTAGTAGACGTGTATGTAGTATGTCGCCGTGGCCACAACCGTGGGTGAGTGTCGGCAGGGCGGCCGGGCCTTGTTGGGGCGTAGTCGCTTGTTCGGACAGGCGTGCGAGGGCGTTGTCGAGTGAGGATGGGCGGATGGGCAACGTGCTCGGGCTGCCTGCGGGCTAGCGCGGGCTGGGCGGGGCTAGCACCATCTTATCGCAGGGCAGGAACGACGGTGGCACGAGCGATTATCTAATCACATACTCACCACAGTCCACACATGCACATGCACATGCCCATGGGCGCGCCACGAGGCGGACGCTGCCATGGCCCTACGACTACGAGCAAAGGCCCTGGCGACATGTTCACGCCCACACCCGCTGCGACGAGGAGCGAGCCGTCGACGGGCCGCGCAACAGCAGCGAGGGAAAACGCCATGCAGGCGCATGAGCAAAGGGTCGTCGGTGGCATTCAGGCGAGCATGACTAGCTGGGAGCAAATTCTCCAGCCCACCGTCGGGGCTAGGGGCAGCGGCAGCTAACACTCAGTCGTCATCTTCCGGAAATTTTGGCCTGGACATGTTCCCTCCATGTCGCAGGTACGGCCCAGGCTCGTGTCATTGGGCAACCCGCTGCTCCGTGGCCAATTGACCGGCGACAAGATCCCAAGACATGCGGTGAGAATTACTTTCTTGTCCGGCAACATGCTGGCATGCTGGCCACCTCGACTGCAACGCATCCCAGACGAGGGCGCCGCATTCGGCCTGTCAAGCCATGGTGGCCAGCCCTCGGACGGGCAGCCTACTAAAGTCCCCAGACGTCACACGTGCGCACCAGCTGCTATCGCCTGAAGGCCAGCCAAGCCAGGCCTCACAGCAGCGGCATCGCTACCCTCTCTGCTCTGGCATGCCTCTGCCTCTGCCTTGGGCCGGCCCTGCGCTCCCCTTTTTCCTCTCCACCTTGTCCGCCAAAAATACCCTCCTGCCGCACCAGGGCCCGGCTACGATGCGCACACCAGTTGCCCGTTCTTGTCGTCTTCCTCAACCCTAGCATCCCGCTACCCGCTACCCGCTACCCGCCACAACTTAGACATGATCACATCCTCGCCCACCATCTCGCAACCTCCCTCACCCAGCACCACCTTCCACGCCCCTGCCCACCGCCCCTACCAGCATGCCTCGCCACGCACCTCCATCTCCTCGACCACGCACTCCCCCCGCTTCGCCGTGACCAATCCACCACAACGGCGGTTCGACGCGCCGCAAACGCCAAAGTCAACCGCCTGCCAGCCCTCGCCCGTACCAGCCTTTGCGCCCTCGCCCCAGACCCGCAAGCGAAGCTACGCAGACCACGGCACCCAGTATACCCCGCCAGGATTTCCCCCCACCTACCGCCCTCCGCCCACCATTGACACCCACGCCCAGACGCTCACCGAGTCGGCCACCAGTACCACCACCACCGCCACCACTGAGCACCACCACCATACCATAAGCACCACCACTGCTCCGCCGATAGACTCACAGCCTGTACCTGCAATCCCGCCCACACAGCGGGGCACTGCCCCCGCCGCGCCTGCAGTCACGGAGCCTCCAGAGCCTCAGCTGCGGGAACCTCCGCAGTCTGCTGCACCCGCACGCAATGCCTTGGCCTCGGCTCGCCCCGCGTCGCGCGATGGTGTGCCCCCTGCTGTAGAGCCTGGGTCTGTTGCACCCGATGCAAGCACCGTCTTGCGCGTGCCTGCATCGCCAGCCAAGCGAGCCCGTCCCGAGGAACCCAATCTCAAAGTAATGCCCCTTCAGTATGAGACTTGCGACGTCAAGGACCTTGGTGTGCTCATTTCCGACATGCTCATGGAGCTGGTGCGCCTGAATGACGGCTATCCGTTGCGGGATGGTACTTTGACCAGGTTCCACTCAAGGTGCGTTTGCCCACGATTGATTGACGCAACTCTTGCTGACCTTTTGTTTTTTTCTTCTACAGAGCGCCTCCTGGTATATCCGTCCGCGACTACCTCTCCCGCCTCATTGTGCACGCGACCCTATCTCCGCCGATCCTCCTGTCCATGGTCTTCTATGTCGACAAGCTATGCGCCATGTACCCCGCCTTTACAATCAGCAGCCTGACTGTACATCGCTTTCTTATAACAGCTGCGACGGTTGCGGCCAAAGGCCTCAGTGATAGTTTTTGGACAAATAGCCTGTATGCAAGAGTCGGTGGAGTCAGCGTTCGTGAATTGGCGCTGCTGGAGCTCGAGTTTCTGAGGAAGCTGGACTGGCGGATAGTTCCCAAGCCCGAGGTTCTTGTCGACTACTACAAAGGTCTGGTCGATCGTGGGACTGGATACATCATGGAGAAGCAGCCAAAGTCGGCATCTACTGTCAGCTCCACCCAAGTCCCTCCTCCTAACGGATCGTCAGCCACAGGTATTCACACCAACGAATCAGGCGTATAATGATTGCGCGTAAAACTGCTGCGCAACACTCTCGACACTGTGTGGTCTAACAGCACTACCATGTGTATGTGTGTGCTGTTCAAACTCCCGTCTGTCCTGCGAGTTGGCGTTTCGTCACATTCGTGGGCTATATTGTCCTTTTGGACTTGGAATTGCCTCGTGGTCACGTCTGTATGGGAGTCTCAAAGACAGACGGGTCCAACGATGAGCTGGCGACATGACTCGACAGCAGGGCATCTGACAGTGTATGCCCACCCACGTGGAGCCCTATGAGACTCTGGAGGGCGCATTGCCGCATCGGTCGCAGGCTCATGGCTCCGAGGCGGATAGTGGGCAGGCCGTGTATGGGCCCCATGGCTTCCATTTCCCGCCCGTTCGTCACAGCAATGCATCGCTGCGGACGCCGGTAGCAGTCTCCGAAGCTGCACGGAACGAGTTTGGGAGTCTGGGCATTGATGGAGCGTGGCATGTGCAGGATAACATAGGCAGTGTGATATCAGCTCCTGGCCTATGGCATGTATGATTGTACACGCTGCATGTCATGTGTGGTGGAATTGAGCAGCGGTCCTATTGGGTAGATAGCATCAGTCGTGGAATCAACCCCTCCTTTCGAGCTGAACGCCGATGGCGTGTTGTTGGAGCACTGAGTGAGCGCATCGTGGTCGAGCCGCTAAGGGCATCCCGTGAGTAACGTGGACGAATAAGAGGATGGGGTAAGCAGCACCCTAGTCAGTCAGTTGCCCGCCCTGGTTCGGCAAGCTGAGGCTAGCCGTCACATCCTCCAAGGCCGTCAGAACATGCCCTCGAACATGCCCGCTCTGACAGCGGAGATGTACACACTGATGTAAGGGCGCCAGGGAAGGGTTCGCAGGACGAAATGTGCGGCTTCCGGCGACTTCATCGGCTTTAGGGGCCATGACCTGACCTCTGGTCTTGAAAGTGAAACCCTCTCTCGCCCTCCACCCACACCCCCCCACCCCCCACTACATCCTCCACGCGTGTCCTGTCACGAAACCGCACCTAAAGAGGTCGTGTGCCGACGTTTACCTCCAGAGCTTCGCGACCGAGACGTCTCCATCACGCCTCGCGGTACACGCGTCCTGTTCCTGATCGAGACACGGCGGCGGCGGTAGCATTGCGACTCCTCTAGTACTATGAAGGTCAGTTGGTGATTGTTCCAGCGGGCGCGCCACACATCTCCACCCTCGCCATGTTCCTCGCTTGCTACCAAGTCAAGTCTCACCTCCCCGGTATCGCCAGAAACACCACCCCGCGTGCCCTGGCGGCCTGCCAACAGCGTCGCGACATGCTCCTAGACCCACCCAGTCCTTGACCACGCACTTACTTGCAAACAGAGTTGGATGTAGTCTGCTCACACAGAGTGCTATGCATAAGAGATGACATCTGAATACGCTCGCCGCGAGGTTAGCAAACGCCAGTATGATAGTCATAGTCAATGGGGAGCGCGCCGTCCCGAACCGCCCTCGGCACCCTGTGCCCTGCCCTATGCCTTCCCTACTGAGCCGTTTCCGCAGCTCAACAACGACTTCAACCAGCTGCAGCTCACAAAGAGCTCAAGAACACGAACATCGCCCGTCGTCACCCGCACGCGCATCGCGAGACATGGCTCCCAGCCAAATCCCACTCGGCCCTCATCTAGTGGGGGCGAAGTGCACATGGTGCCCTACCAGAAGTTCTCGCCCTCTCGTCGCGCCGGGTCATACTCGCACCCGACGCCGCTTGAAGACTTTCGCAAGTCGAGACGATGGCCCCCGAAGGGATACAGATCTGAAGATGCATTGGACCCAGCCGAAGCAGATGACCTCATCTGTGCAGGGGCATCTACTTTCAAGGGATACCGAGACGCTATAGCAAATGCACCAGATGGATACAATCGCTTTTACGCCGTTCTGGAAGCTGAGCACCAGAGCCGAACCGATCGCGCACACTTTCAGCAGCAGGCATATCGGGACATCTCGCTCAACATGACAGGCACGCGCGATGACCAATTCCCGTGGTCGTCTCATGAGTACCCGTGCATGGCTTATGCGTTTGGAAAGAGTGCGGGCACTACAACGCTCAACTATTGGGTGAGCAAGTCTGGAACAAGCCATGCCCCCATCAAGTTTGCCGGTGACGCCCAACCGCGAAAAATCAAGCTCTTGCAAATCCTCGACAGACTACAGAAGCTGGAAAGCGGACTCAATGAAGATGTCAGTCAACAGCCGTGCGCCGGTCGCTTTTTATTTTTTTATTTTCTTTCTGTTTGGTTCGTCTCCCTAACTTTGCTCTTGATAGGACCCGGAGGATTTGTACCACTACCTGTATACCACGCTCATCGAAGATCCGGAACGATACGATGAGGAGCGCCGCCATATTCGGATTGATCAGCAGATTACAGACCTCATTACTGTATTGAGCAATCCACAGTGGATAGACTTTTCGCAGCCTAGAAACCAGGTTGTAGCAAAGTTCTTTGACGCGCCCGATCAGCGTAAGAAGCAAGAGTTCTTCCATCAACTGTTGCTCTCTGTAGAACTCTACCTCCGCATCCATTCCAAGGGGCATTCCGAAAAGTCCAAGCGCAAGCTGATTTCGCAGCTTCCCCCCATGATCACATGGGACCTAGCTGTGGCACAGCGATGGCTTGAGAACATGGAAATTACTAAAACGCGGACATCGTCCACGCAAAGCACGTTCAGCTTTGATCTCAAGAGTAAGAGTAGACAGATAGAAGCTCTGCGGATCTTTGCCGCGACCCTCAAGTGGCCCAACATGGACGAGATTGAGTACATTCTAGACGAGCGGGACCCGAATGAAAAGGCCATCGAAGACAGGTCTGCGGATGCCATGTCGTGGTTTTCGGGCATTGTCTTGCCAGGCCGTACACTACCGTGGCTCATTATGAACAGTTTGATCGACTGCGACCAGGATACTGGCGACGCCCTCAAGTACCTTACGCATATGCACCCGGCATCTGGATTCCAGTACCGTGCCAACACTTACTGGTCAGCCCAATGTATTGTTGGTAAAGTCCTAGGAGCTGCGCGTGGGGTGAAGCAAATTGCAGGCTGGATTGGGCCATGCATCTACACCCCTGAACTCAAACGGACAGAGTGCGTCAAGATTAGGCAGCTTGAATCTCCAGATCCAGTGCTGATACCGGTTGATGTTGAAAGTATGGATGATCGTACGAACCCTTTGGGAACAATAGAGGACAGTTATCCGATTGATGACTACGACATACCCATGCCGGACACGGAAGACGTCACAGATTTGATAAGAATGGAGAAGCTCCGTTTTGTACCCATCAAAGAGCGACCAGAAGGGGGCCGTGGTGCTTCTGGCCCACCAATGGTCTTTGATGCTGCGATCTTATTCGCTTGTGGTGGCGAGAGCTGGCCGATGAAGCTACGGTACGACGTCAGTTTTATCAATGCCTTCCCTTGCCACCAAGGGCCGCATGGTACGAAACAGTTGCATGTTCAAATTGATTGTCTCATACTGACTGTACCCAGTGCTGTTCTATGACTTTTCGTACAAAGCAATCAAAATCGATGAAGGCCTTGTAGACATTACAGATTGGGGTCTGCAATCCGGCCGCACACCTCGACCTACCTCGTCCAAGTCATCGCCCGGCAAGAAGGCACTGGCACTCATGAATGAGCAGAAGAAAAGTGCTCATGAGCAGGTTACAAATGTGCTGGCCATTGAGGCACTTGGTGTCAGTGACAACGAGGTATTTGCAAGGGCTTGGTGCGCCCATCATGGGCACAGTGCTATTGTGGCGAACATCAAAGAGACGTGCATGGCTTGTGCTATCAGAGAGGCATATGCGGCCTGTGTATCAGTCGTCATCCTTACGGAAGGCGGCGTTGTCAAGGAAAACGATACCGATCTTGGTGTCCTTGACGATTTTTAACAATAGGGTCCGGCCGGTAAACGGAGTGATTCTGGAGGTGGGCATTGGGATCTTTACGGACACTGGTGTTTTGGCATACATTTGAGGACTCATTTGAGGGTTGGCTTTGGTGCAACACCTGCAACCGACATGCATGTTTCCTTTGTCTAGGGCCTGGGCAAGAACCGTGCACTGATTAGGCGGGTATTTATGAGCATGAATGGTGCGACGTGGAATTAACGACTGTAATGATAACTCATGGGATTATGGAGTAAATGGTTATGATTGTATAGTCATGTCTAGTGAATGTATGCATTTTCTCTGTTGCAGATAACTCAGATTGACGCTGCTACTTGATTTATCTCGTTAGAAATGGGAATTTTATGCACACAAATTTGTCAGTATACATTTGTTCAAGCCGAATGAATGCATGTGCAATACCAGTCAAGAAAGGCATGCTCGAGGGATGGTGCAGTCACGTGCTGATAAGGTGTGTTATCGCCCCTTGCGCTGACGTTTGCGGGACTGAGACGCGGCTATCTCATGTCAATCAAACTTCGCTCACGGCCACGTACTGCTACGCCGCGCGAAGAAGCCCATGCGACTTGGCAAGCTTCTCGCATCATTTAGAAAGCAATCAGAGCCTTGCTGCATAAAATGCTGTGCAGGCAATGATAACCACCTGTCCGTTGCGCCTTCCCTCCGCAACACTTCGACTAAGGTTGTGCTTTCTCAGTGAAGCGGTCATCATTGCCTCTCTCATCCTTGACGTACAATTGTACGACCACGACTAGACCTCTTCTTGTAGGACTGCACGACAAGTGTTAATCTGCGTCCCCCTTTTACCAATTACCTGTTCGCTGGCCGTCGACACCATGGGCCGTTCAACGATCCCTTCCGCACTCAGCGAGCTCTCCAACCCTACCACGCCCGAGGCACAAGTCGCAGCGCTACAAAGCCTGAAGAACGAACTTGTGGGGCATGAACAGAGAAAAGAGCTGGCTGTTACGCATGGTATTGTGAAACCACTTGCCAGTTTGCTGCGCGCCGAGGCTAGGAAGGGCGGCAAGAGGCGAAGGAACGTTAGAAACGGCAACAGCTCTGGGCTGTTCGGTGACACAGCTGGGCTGGAAGAGTGGACCACCGAAGATGAGCTGAGGTTCCAAGCCACGCTCGTCGTCGGCAGTCTGGCGAATGGTAAGCGCGCAATGCAAAAACATAAGACGAAAAGAGCACCTTGGCTGATGTATAAGACGTACAGGTGGACCAGCATTTGTTGCGCCACTACTGGCTGGCGATGTACTACCTCCATTACTCGAAGCACTACGACCAAGCGAAACGCCCTCCAAACTCGTCACTGCGACCTTGAAGACGCTCAATCAGATTGTCGATGCTGTTGCCCAAGAAAAGCCATGGCTCGACTTGTCAGGCTCATCGAGGCCATCTCTTGCATCCGCCGTGAATGAGATTATATACACAAAATCAACTGTTGAGAGTCTGTCTGAGATTTTGGCGCAGACGGCGGGTACCATGAAGGTCAACCAGCAGATAGAATCAGCTATGCGGTTGATTATAAAGACGTGTCGAGAAGACAGCCACAAAAGAAATTTAGTAGACGCAGATGTACTAGATCTGCTCGCGGAACTACTTGCTGGTGTTGCAGCCATGGACGATCGCATCCCTGCATCGGATAGGAAGCGATCGAGTCGTGAGCA